CCATTGCTAAAACTTAATTATATTTTATTTGAGATTTAAATAATAGAACTAAATGTTTACCGTCGTTATTGAGATATTTATAAAATTCCTGGCATGGCATATTATATATTTGTTTAAACATTAAATCGGCCTCTAATGTTGTTAAAGCAATCCGATTTCTCTTCTTTTTCCAGGCAGTCCTCATCAGGATAAAAATGCGCTCGTATGAGGCATTAGAATGAGGTAAGGAGAAGACATACTCGCAATTTTTTCCAATCATGGGGATTTATCGTTATTACGAAAAAATTCTACTCATTTCTCCTCTGCTTTTAGACCATCTAACTTTAAGTATTTTGGCGAATCATAAAAAATAGAGAGAATTACTATTTCCTCAAACAAGACATCAATGTCTTTCGGTATTTTTAATATATTTATTAAATTATAAAAACCATCAATTGATGGTTTCTGTTCCAAGGTCATAATATTTAAACGTTTGTAAATAGAGTTATTAAAATCAAATTTTGGTTATAAATATTCTAAAATTGTCTTAATAAAAATATCTGCTTCATTTAAAAATGTATTAATAAGAGTATTATTTGAACATTTTAATATATTATTTTTAGCAATTGCGCCTTAAAATTTACAATTTTTAACTGTAGAGATGGTGAATCTTTTTTAATAAAGAATATTCTGATTGCAACTAAATATTAACAGCATGAAGTATATTTCCCACATGTGAAACTAATCCCAAATATGCTTCTGCCATTCCATACTCCAAAAAATTTTTCAAAATTTTAGGACAGCTTTTAAAATCTATTTAAGAAGTATTTTTTTAAGGGTTTGAAAAATTTTAAAATTCTATCGACGGCAGGTATTAATGACAACCACCTGATAGGTATATATCGCAACAACTCACGCCATTCCAAATCAGACCACTTCACCAACTCTTTTAATTCATTAACTCTTTAGTTGATGAACTAAATTCGTCAAAACATTTCATCACAATTATTTCGACATCCACAGATAGTACATTCATTACCTTCTTGCAAGAATTATGTAGTATATGGCATATACAGCCAATAGGTATTAATTCATTATTGTGCTGCCTCAATTCGGTAACTTTGGTTTTTGCTAAAATTTACAGAGGCATTATCAGCGCAGAAAGCTGACTAGCAAATCATTGATAACCCTGAATCAGCTATATTTACCATTATGTGGCTAGCTACATTGTTAAATTTTTCACTATCCGAGGAAAAAATTTTAACAGCTTTACTGAAATGTTCTTATTCTTGTTGGTTGAAATAACGAAGGATCGAGGGAAATGTTTTAATATTTCCCTTATTAGATGCATCTGTTAGAATTGTCATGGATGCCCATCTTTCAAATCGTCTAGAATTGACCTCTAGGATTCAGGTACTAAAACACTTGTGATAGCCTTGCTCATTTTTGTTCTACCACAAGTAAGGTTTGGACTTATATTGGAGTCGTTAAATATGATGAGAAAAAGATTCACCACATTGTGATGAAGCTCTGTGAATGTTGAACTACATGATAGATGTATACGATTTCCGCAAATGTAGTTGCATCTGTATTATTTATTATTTTTGAGAATATATTTGTAATGCAATCGATGTTGATTTACTCCCCTGTACTGACTTATATGAATGAAATGATGTTGATTTATTACTGGATAAAAATAAAACAGGATAGAAAGAAATTTACAAACTAGACATGTTTTTCGAATAAATATTTAAATTTAAAAATATTAAAATATTCAATTGATGTCTCTCAAAATTATTATTTATATATTAAAAACGTTAAAATACTAAAAAAAAATTGCGGGAGAAATTAATGAGGGAAATTTCTGATTGCGGTAGTTTTGCGGGAGAGAGATGTCTGCGTGTAAACTAAAAAATTGCGGGAGTCTCTTGCTGATGGGGGGGGGGGGAGGACATGGCAACCCTGTATACATATCATATTTTTTAATTATCACTAACCATACAATATATCTATGAACGAGTCATCACCTGAAAATCTCCATAATTCGGAATTATCAAATGATTCATCAAATTAGCCATTCTCCTATAAGACTAATAATTTCACGGAGTTATAAAAAGAGTTTCATCTTGTTATATCCGGTTTAATCAGATATCTTCCCATTTTACCATTAAAAATGCGTGCACAGTTTCGAAACTGTCCATGATACAATTGAGAAAATATATGAGTTTGGACACAAGTTTACAAAGGGTAAACTTTGTAAACCTTTATTTTCTTTATTGATGTAAAAAATGTTTCATATTGGGGCCATGGCAGGATTCGTCTTCATCGGAAGAAATATGTGCAATTCATATATTTTTTAAATATATTATAATATTAGAGTATAAGAACCTAAATTAACATATATATATGATTGATTAAATATATCAACAATTTAACAACAAAAATTTTAATCAAAAATGAAGTTGGTGGTTATTACAATAAAATATACTAATTCCATATTTTTTAAGAAATTGTTTAAAGTAACGAGCAACGTCTTATGCTACTGTTAATAAAAAAAAGAAGAAACGCCTTACCTCTTGAAAAAGAAAACACAACTGGCGTTGCTTTTATTCAAAAAAGGTAACGCCGTTGTTATTGGCGTTATTTTATAACACTAATGTTAATCTAAAACAACAAATCCCAATTACTATATGCAAAATGCAAATCAAATTTAGTCTCTATTCATGATTCAATGTCCACCATGACCTAAAAAATAATATTCTGCTTTAATGTTCATATTATTGTCTTTTTTGAGATATCTCGACTGTCCAATTTAGATCTATTTTTTATTTTTTTTAAACTACCGTTATATAGTAGCCAGGCTACAGCCAATATCGAGTCTCATAATTTATAATACAAAAAAAGGTTCAGTTTTTAAAATAATGATAGTTTTTCTTTAAATATTTCGGTAATTTAATTATTTTTTTTATTATTATGTACTTTTAATTTTTGTTCTCTTGAATCTTGATATCAACCTCAAAAATTTTCTTATTTTAGTAATAACTTTTTTATTTATATTGTTTAGCAAATGGTATTGAATGGAAGTATTTAAAAAAGCATTATAATTCGTGATATGATTCAAAGTCTAAGAAGTTTCATGCTTAAAACTTTGTCTTAATATGATATTTAGATTCATATAAAATTAATAAATACTCGATTCAAAATATAATGAGATTAACTATTTTATATCTACATCAATTAAATAAATCGATTAGAACAATTGTATACATTTACCTCATCTTTCTTATGCTACTATACAACAATAATTTAATATATTTTTTACAGCATATTCTTTTATAAGGGTCATTTTTATACCCAATTTATTTATTATAATTTAATTAAAAGCAATTTATTTAAAATCTAATATTTTCATTTCCAAAAAACATACATATCACATTTTTAAGAATTGAATAGCCATTTTTTAAATATTAATTTCAAATGTTAAAAATATTTTTCCTAATTTCAAATCCAATAAAATTTACCAACTTTATTGCTTTACATTACTTTCTATAATACATTATATTAAGAGAGATTTTTCTCTCTCCTAAAACTTTTAAGATAATATATTTTTACATTATATTTTTATTCCAAAAATTTTAACCATTTTCTTCTCTTTTAGATTACTACTCCTTACTCCACTGTACACTTCCCCATAAACAATACTCGTTAACTTTTCGTACTTTTTTATATAATATCTGACGATTTTAGTTACAAAATAATCTAATGAACCTTTCATCAAACGCTGTCTAACTTTCGAAATAAAAATATGATATCAGGCTTCTTTATTGGCATCAAAGCGTAAGATTCTAATCTGAAAAAACTTTTCCTCCTTTCCAACCCCTTTATCCAGTGGCGTAGCTACGGGGGTGGTTTTCAGGTTAGGACCCCTCCCAGAGCAAATTTTTTTTTTATATATTATACTTTCAAAAGACTTAAAAGTGCTTTTATATCAATTATATTACTATTGAAATTATTCTGGATAGTATTATTATAAGGTCATTGAGAATAATCTACTAAATTATAATAACATATTATTGATGTATTTAAAAAATATATTTATTATATATTATCGAAGATATGGTTATGATTTGTAAGATAAACCCGGCCGAAGGCCCGGCAAAAAGGCCGAAGCCCTGTCAAAGGGGGTCTGGGGGGCGAAGCCCCCCAGCTTTTATATGCATGGACCCCCTCTAAGGAAAATTCCTAGCTACGCCACTGCCTTTATCTATCTCTTCATCCATCAGAATACACAGCTAATCCACCCACAACAATAACCTATGCCATCATCTTTTATATATGATACACTTATTTCATGCTCCCTCATCCCGCATGATAGTTTTATTTAAAACTCGCATTATCATTATATGATCTCAAGAATTCCTTCATCTTAAGATGCAAGTAGCCAAGTCTATTAGCCTTTTTTTAATATTTCTTTACTTTGAATCATTCGCTTAAGCTTTTATCTAAAGAAACATTATGCTACATTCTCAAGATTATTTCCAATATTATTTTCAAATTTATTTGAATTTTTCACATTCTATTTTTAAAAATTTCAATTTAAAACATCAAAAAATTTTTTTCTTCATCTGGTCTAGAATTATATTATAAATTTCCCTTGAAATTCTGAGAGCTAATAGCGTTTCTACGAAAGAAGATATTTTTTTTACTTGAAAAAATATTTTTTTATTGAAAAATATTTTATGTCTCTATAATATATTTATGAATAGTCAAAAAGCATTGCTGATTATAGATAGCTATAAAATAGTTGACTAAATAATTTTATTTTAAATAATATATTAAAATAAACTTTATAGATAAATGTTATTAAGATTGAGGTAATTATGTAAAAAATTAAAGACTGCTATAAAAAATGCACACAATACTAAAGAACGTTAATCATACAGTATAGTATTTTTATTTTGTATATATTAACTTATATTTATATTTAATTTATTATAATATAATTGTTACCTTTGTTTTTGGTGGGTTAAAAAGTGTTCTAATTCACCATATTTATTCCTTACGTAAACTTGCTTTCCTTCAAAAATAAAAAGTAAAAATATTTTATGCCTATTATTAATTAAATTCAATTTGATAAGGCATTGCTCAATGGGATCTCGTGATTATACCAATGGAAGCCTAAATGGACCAAGTGAATATTCTTATAAGAGGAAATTTAATTCGCTTGAACCGTCAAAAGTTCTGCATATATCTAATTTACCGTTTGATACTACCGAGAGAGAACTTAATCAATTTTGTTCTCCATTTGGTGTTTCAAGGAAAATAATGATTATTAAAAATAAAAATCAAGCATTTATTGAAATGGAATCAGAGTATGATGCTACCAATCTAATGGACTATTTTCAAATTTTTGATATACATTTACGAAGTAATAAAATTGTCATACAATATTCAAATCACAAAAATCTATCTGTAAAACATGATAATGATTATGATGATACATATTCTAAAACAAACACTTCACCAGTATTACATGTTAAAATTGATAACATGTCATGTCCTATTACCATTGATGTTTTATATCAAATTTTTTCTAAAAATGGTCAAGTTATGAAAATTGCAACTTATAATAAATTAGGTGAATTTGGAGCTTTAATTCAATATTCTGATAGTTTTACAGCATCCAATGCACGCACAACTCTAAATGGTCAAAATATATATAATAATTGTTGTAAGCTTCGAATAGATTTTCACAAAAAAGATGATCTCCATATTTCACCAAATGATCCCCTTTGTCGTGATTATACTCTTCCACTCAATGATAGGAGTATTTTAAACAATCCTATATTTAACAATATGCCAAATATTGCTGCTGCCTCTATGCTTGGTCCACAACTATTGCAAAATGTTATTGGAGTTAACAAGAATTCTCTTTCGCCAAATAATGATTTTAATATGCGAAATGATAAAAGGATGAAAAATAATAATTCTTCTAATCCACCAACACCAGTTTTATTAGCTAGTAATTTAAGTAAAGAAATGTCTACCCCTGATAAAATATTTGCACTTTTTGGTGCATTTGGAGATGTCCAAAAAGTAAAAGTTCTCTACAATAAAAGAGATGCTGCCTTAGTACAAATGATGGATACAACTCAAGCGGGTATGGTTTTAGACTTTTTACATGGTAGCATTGTATTTGGTAAAGAAATCAGGATTACCTCATCAAAATATCACGAAATTTCATTCCCTGCCATACCCTTAAATGAAGAGGGTTCTTCTGATGATGAAAATGGGGAAAAGAGACTCTTAACAAAAGATTACACCAACTCTCCTTTGCATAGGTACCGTAAAGCAGGTTCTAAAAATTATAATAATATATGTCCACCTAGTTGCATATTACATATTTCCAATATTCCTTCTACACTTACTGAAGATGACATTAAACACATCTTTAAAGATTCTGGTTTCTTTGTTGATAGATTTAAATTTTTTCCTAAAACACGTAGCATGGCTCTAGTTAGATTATCAACAGAAGAAGATGGCATAAAAGCTTTGGTGTTATTAAACAATTATACTGTCAGTGGAGAAAAGGGTGATTTGGCTGAGAAACATTTGAGAATATCTTTTAGTCCATCTAAAATGTGAATTTCTTGAATGAAAAGGCATAAATACCTAAGTATGTTAAATGTTTTTTTAAATAAATTGATTCCTTATCTTTTTATATCATCATTTTTTAATCTATAATTCTCAATCATATGTAAATACAATTACTTATATATATGTAAATAAAATATTTAAGACATGATTTATATAGATATAAGTTTCAATTTTCATTATCTGGGCATCTATTTTCCTCTTTTTCATGTATATATTTGTTCAGTAATTTTTTATTATCTTATATTCCAATTCTTAAATGTATTGATCTTTTTTTTGTATTTTCACATTGATATTTCTTATTAGCTTCATCTATTTCTTATTCATGATTTTCGCAATTATTTCTTGATATAAATAAATTTATCAAATTCTAAATGTGTTGTATCTTTTTCTATTATAATATTATTCTATGAAATTGCAACAAAATCTTTTAACACAATTCACAAACAATTTAAGTCTTTTAGAAAAACTATGTCATGTATGTTATATCTTAATTTTTCAACAATTTGTGTGATTGCATTAAGTTACTAATATTTAAACATTCAATAACTTCATGCCAAAATCCTATATTTTATCAGTTTAAAAAGAAATTTCTTTTATCTACATAACATGTAATCTTAATGGGACATTGCTGTGCATTTGCATACTTTCTATCCTTAAAATTTTTAATATTTAGCAAGCACCCTTCATTCAAATTAAAAATTCTCAAAGATGATCAGTTCTTAAAGTTATCCTAATATTTTTGAATACTTGATTGTGTAATGAATGTCTGCGGTTATAAATTTGTATTATTGGATTTCCTTTTACACCAATAATTTTAATCAAATTATGCTAAGAGGCTTGACTTACTGATATTCAAATGAACATTATACACTTGTCATAGGGGGGGGGGTATCAGTTATACTATTATCAATTAAAAAAACATGTTTTACAAAAGATAGTAACAGTTGCCAACAACCCTCTATCAAAATCTAAATTTCAAACTGCTTCAGACAAAATCAAGATTTATTTTATATTTAATAATATTTCAAATAAAGCCAAAATATATGAATCAAGGACAAAAATTTTCTTTACCAAAAGATCTTAGTAAAAAGATACTGGACTAAAATACCAATAAATAGATGTTGTACAAAAATACCTAAATTTATAAAAAAAATTAAATGCTCTATAGGTGAACATTTTTAAAATTACCCCTTTTTAAGCATTTAGACAAATTTCTATAATTGGTTGATATTTAATCTGGTGACTTTTGCCTAAGGTAATTTATGTTGGGGTATTTTTGACTAGGAAATTTCTGTCTGTGATTCATTATATATATATATTGAGAGAATTTTTTTTGAATCCTGTTTGGAAATAGTATAAAGCTTAACCTAATAATAACTGTTTAAAGAGTTCTATTCTATTCAAAGGATGTTACCCCTGGGTTTGAAATTGTTTAGTCTATCTACACAATTTAAGTATGTCGATTCTGGCCAATCAAAGTTATTTATTGGATAAGATCACCCAATTATGTTATAAAATTATAATGGGGAAATCACAGATTTTCTAAAGCTTTTTTTTTGGAGCCAAACTTTTTCTGAAAAAATGGTTATATCAGATCAATTGCAGTTAGCAGAGTCGAAAATTATGACTAAGCTTATAGGCAGAGGGATCAGCAAACAAGCTAGCATATTACTTCCTCTTTAATTAGTTGTATGAACAATCAGAATGGAGGCAGTTGCAGATATTTTTGCTCAACATTTATTCATAATGATTTCAGCAATGCTTGATACCATTTGCAGGAAATATTTATCTCACAATTCATAAAACAATATCCAGTTACCACAAACTATCCTTTCCATAAAAAGTAAATATTTAGTTCTTAATCAAATGCACTATGCTAAAAATTTCTCATTTAAGCTCTCCCATTAGTGAGGAGCTAATAATCTCTTATCCTTTTCAACATCTTTAAAATTCTTGTCAATCAAGCCTAATAATTTTGAAATTGCAGCTAGTAAGATACTAGACTAGATTAAAAGCGATTTTTAAAAAAATGAGGCTGAGCAATTGGTACATAAAAAATAAACGGCTCGGGTTTGATAATTCTACATAAAAATTTGGGCAAGGCCTCACGAATCTGAGATGTTTTGTAAAATTTTAATAAGTCAGCTTGGGGCATTAAAACTTTGCTATATTTTTTTAAATTTAAGGCAAATATTTTAATTTACACTATTTGAAAATAAATTACATGCGAATTTATTTTTATTAGTAAAAGCTATCTAACTCAAATACTAAATCTATAAATAAAATAGTGAATTCACAAAAAATTAAATAAGTTATTTATGATATGATCCAATTACAAATACAGATATCAAAACACAATTATTTATAAAACGGTTGTTATATAAATAGATATCCATAGGGTAGATATAAATGGCATAATTGACATTAAGAAAAATTAGATTAAAAAATGCTGGCAGGAAATTTTGTCTAAAAAGGATTAAAAGGTGCAGGCAGGACCTCATTTTTCGTAAAATTTTTGGGTCAGGGGATTAGTAAAAAAAAATTATGCTAGACAAATATTTAAATAATGAGCCAGAGAACTTGTGCGAAAAACCTTAAGGCTTCATTATTTATTTAAATCTCTGCCTTCAGTGCAAGTCACAAGTGCAGACAATAATATAACAACATTTATCAGTTCTCGATCCTTTTTTAAGTATGGCTAGGATGGAATGGACAAAGTTTATGGTAAATACATCCGAATTATAGACAGAAAGAAATATTGGGATTTAGCACTTATGAAAACTCTTGATTACATTATTTTGAGTTTTCTATCTTAGGCTAGATCCACATTCAATGAACTCATTAATGAAAGGTTATGAATTCTTAAAGGTTATTCAATCCAAAATGGCATTGAATAATCAGTTCAGCTGTGCTATATGTAACAAATTTAATATCCATTTTTTGTTTCCCAGATGCAGCAAATATTGAACTTCATCACATTCTTTACACCTTTATCAGAACCTTCTAATCTATTTATTGAGAATAGACATTGATGATATTACACGAATTCCATGCATACAACGATATTGGATTCTCATTTAAAGAAACGAAGTCCCCATCTAATATTAACAAGAATGCTATAAATAGAACCTATAATTTAAAGATTGCCCAATATACTCGATTTTTTTTGTACCAACGTTGATTTGGCGAAGAACTTTTTCAAACATGTCTGTTCATCAATTGGGGGAGCCTTGCGAATAACTTAATTGTCCCAGATGATTAGAATTCTTTCCAATTTTTGCTTTTACTAAATTTCTATTTTTTTAATACTCAATGAATTTTTTATTTTAAAATATATATTATTGCCCTTTTTGGTTCTGTTATATTTGTATTTTTATCATAATCATCTTATGTTCAATTAAATTTTTATTATTAGTTGCCATATTAACTGTTTCTTTTTATATAATATTTTTATAACATAATTTATATTTAATTTTTTATTATATGATATTAAAAATGTAACTCTTTTCAAGATTTTCGTTCTACTATGCTAAAAATCATTATTTTCACCCAGTGATATCTAATTTTGCCTTTATAACTGCGGTTATCTTTGTAGCATTTAATTAATAAAATGCTGGTACTTATTTTGGGATATTCTATATTCTCAAAATAATCCTTTGTTCTAACCGCTGCCTTCTAAACTCTAGTAATTCCAATCTATGGGATGATATCTGGAGAAGGTTAACCTATGGATATTATAATATTTGCAAGGCTTTTGTAAATTTCAGTATGACAAGGTGCCCCCCCCTTTAATAGAAGATGCAATTTGTTTCATGTCCAAATAACTAAATTAGTGGATCAGTACTACATTGAGAATATCTTGATATTTAACAGCTTTTATTATATTATCAACCCCATAGTTTTATATACTATCTGAAAACCTAGCAGTTCCTAGGTAATTAAGATTAAGCTTTCTACTTAAAGCCTTATAACCAAATATCGTACAGACCCAAAACTTATACCTTGTTTGATCAATATTCGCTGATAGTTGATATACAAGTGCAGAAATCTCATCAATTCATATTTTTGTAACATACCGATTTTTATAGTATCCTTTTCCCTTGAAGTAATTATCTTAGAGATCCCCCATTTTTTACGTTAAAAAAGTGCGATATTTTTATATTTAATAATATATCTAACGCCTCGTTTATAGTAAGCGGTATTTGCTCAAGCGACGCCAAATCACAGCTAAAATATCTGAAATATACATAAGCAGCTCTCGCGATTTAATCATTCCGCTCAGTATTTATAAATTATATCTATTATCACGTTTACTATAAACAGAGCATAATGGTAGATTGACTTATAACTAATTGGTCCGCTATATCTGCCAGAATCTCCTCTTAGCTGAATTAATAAAGATCTCATGAATATGAATATTTGAGGGCTTGCTTTTACTAAGCTGAATAAAAAAAACTTTAAAAGCTAAAAATTAATTAAATTATATAATATAATAAAAAAAGTTATAAGCAGGCGAAGGTTAATTTAAAAAAAAGATGGATAAATTAATTGTCGTTAAATTGCAACAGTGGTGTCTTCAAGTTTTGAAAAGATATAAATGTTATAAAATACAAGTATTTATGATGCCTAAACAAGAAAAGCAATAGGGAGTTAAGAAATATAAATATGTTTGCAAATAGCGAAAAATTAAAAAACAAATATGCGTGCTGAACTGAAGATATAGTAAATATAAATCAATACCTAAAAAAGAATTCGTGTACCATTGCTTTTTTTTAAAAAGTTTTTTTTATATTATATTCTTATATAACCACAAGAAAAATCTTAAAATATAATTGAAAATAATATCCTTTATTTGTATTATTATATTTGTAATCTCCTATCCAAATACTTCTTTTTTAAAACTGTTTTTATGTGGATATAGGACACTATAATACTCAGCTGATGATATGTATGGCAATATAAATCTACACCAAATTTTATTAGTTTTTTTTAAAAAAATAAATAAATTATTATAAGCAATTTTTATCAATTTATGACAATCCCACAAAAATATGTTATTTATATTAAGAATCGCATCTTCAGACAGTACTGGTTATGAAATAAATTAGTGGCAAAGAAATGTATAAATTTGCATTTATAGAGATATCACAAAATCAAAAAGGAAAGATATATCCAAATTGCTAAACAGCTCTTGGATGAATTGCCTCGTTTTAAAATGGTAACGGGTTGTGTTTAAGAGCTCACAAACGTCAGAATAGAAACACACATTATCGAAAACCTCAGGGACTTCATGTCTCAACCTAAAATATTTTTTTTTCGCGAATAAAAAGGGTAGGTATAAATATTAAATTTCCTGTATTATCAAATAATGCGAAGCAGAAACACGTCAAGAATAAATTGCTAACATTTATTTATATATATTTTATATTATATTAAATTTTTTTTTTAATATTTAAAAATCTATAAAAATATAAGACAAAACATGATTTTATGAGTTCTTTCTTTTCATTCATAAAAAATACTCAATGTTTGTCAAAGCTATTTTGTGTATTATAAATTTGAAAAAAACTTGATTAAATCTCGGCAAGCCGTTTTGAAGGAATAAAAGATGCCGATTTTATTGGCTATTAGTCTCATAACCCGTGTACAAGATTCGGAATAAACAAATGAATGATTATTCGATAAACCAAGACCACATTTTAAACAAAGATTATGAGAGTGGATGTACGTTTGGCTATTTTCGGATGATGAGCGTTTATCATTATTTTTCCCCCAGTCATTTTTAGAATTTTTAAAAATTGCGGGATAAATAAATTTGTCCTTTTTTTTAGACGCGAATTCACCTTCCACGTGTGACATCAAAATTTGTGGTACGGAGGTAAGGGAATTGTTAGATTTCGATTCCTTGATGCTAAGAGGTGACTTAGATTTCTCGGAGAAATTATCATCAAACAGTTTATGACGATTGTGGAGATATAATGGGATCGACGGTACAGCATGAAGGTCATCTGGGAGAAGAATTTAAAAAAAATGACAAAAAGCTAAATATAAAAATTGGAGACCTTTTTCAGGGCTACAAAGTTTTTTTTTTACAAACCTGAGCAAGGTCGGTAAATGTACCATTGCAGGTGATGGTATAAAAAATTGTTAATGATAACAAAAAGATTTTAGATCGGCTGTTTCTAATTTAAGAATTTTTTTGCCCTTACTAATATAATACTAGAGAATGTAGCGGATATCAATTTTTTTTAACGGATTCTAAAATTTGAAATTACTCGGCAGAGTTTAGTATCGGATTTTATAATTTGTTTAAAATATTTATTAAATCTTTTAAGCGTAGAATGTAGATTTAATTTAATAAAAAGAATATATTAAAATTTACTAGTATTTTCAAAAGATAAACATAAATAATTGACTAATTTTTCAATATTATTCACCTGGTTAATTTTTTAATATGTTCTAGTTTGTTAAATTTGCATAATTTTAAACAAAAAAATGATAAAAAAATATTTTTTTTGACTAATAAATTTTCATTTAAAAAAAGGAACGGGGATAGGAACCGGTAGATTCAAGATTTTCCCTTTTTGATCTAGTACACCTCTAATTATATACTACAGATTTAAAGCTTAATAAAAAGTTACAACATGCTAAAACCAATTCTGGATTGGTATACGTGGCATTTCTACTTATTCTAAAACGCTTATTTAATGACAAGATTTTTCTCAGGATTTAGTCAATTCATATCAAAACTATTATTTAACAATTGAGGAATGAAGTGAAATAGATTCTATATCAAAGATACTGAAACAACTAAAGAGTAACAAACGATTAATAGAGTGAGCAATTAACTTTGAGTAGTTCTTATGCTACATGGCTAAAGTGTATCTTATAGGTTGAGATTACCGACACTCCTCTTGCTAATGTATTAGCAACTATAATGAGAATAGGGGAACGTGACTATCTTACAAAAAATTTACTTCTTTCTGCCCTGTATTTGGATCATAGATACAAAATTTTAATATAAGAAGCGACACTTTTGGCAAAACGGCATTTAATAAATTTATGGATGAGAATGCAGAAAATCGAGGATGTTATTAATATTGTAGATGATTAAATTAGTGAAGTTGACATGCAATCTCCTAATGATGATCTAGAACAATTGTTGAGGCAGAGAAAAAGTAAAAATCCTGAAGATTATTAGTCAAAAAAATGATGAAAGAAACAGAACTTTAGTGGCATGTTTCTTAGGTTAGATACATAAATTTTAATATAATATATGTTTGCTTTTTATTTAATATTTTAGATCAAAGTAGAATAAACCAAGACCAGGATTTACTATATTGGGAAGGAATGAAGAAAACCCAGCCTAAAATAATGCTGTCTCGTCCTGGCAGTTCAAGCCACATAAGTCAGCGTGGAAAGAGAACTTTCTTTATTAAAGCTTATATTATCACCATATAGATCTAACATTAATGAATTATAATATATATTAATTGTACGCTTGAATAAGCCTTTTAAATAGATGCATTATAAATATAACCTAATGTCATATTCTTATTTTATCTTCTATATCTGTTAAAAGATATGTATATTATATAATAAAAACAAACTATAAAATTAATTTGAATAGAGATAATAGTTTGAATTTTGAAAAATTATGTTAATTTGATGATTTTTATTAATGAATGTTTGATGCTATTTTAATATATAAATATAATTTTTATAGGACACCAATTTTTAATTTCAATTTTGAACTGAACCTGCATGAACCTGTTCCGAAACCGGTTCGAATCTGAACCGAACCTTTAAACATAAACTTGAAATTTTAAATAATCAATCATAAAACAATACTTTGGTCTATGAAAATTTAAAAAAAAAAGCTTCTATGAGGTGACATCTGACAACTATAAGAGAGTAGAAGTTTCGGTCAATATAAAGAGCATTTTACTTATTTATAAGATTTTTTTGCAAGAGAGGAACCGACTTAAAGAAATCAAAAGAAGGAGGAGTTTATGTATTATTTTTTTTTATAATAGAATTTTACTATAGCAACGTAAATATGAGATTCCGTCCTTGGATCTAGAGCGCGTTGAGAGACTACCATTGCACCAGATCTAAGGTAATGATATATAAAAAAATATACTATAGTTATAAATGAGGATGAGAGCGATAAATTTTAAAATTGATTTGTATATAAACTAAGGCCCCTTTATCGGACCTATTTTAAAGGGCTATGACCAAGAAGATATTACATTTTTTTTTGTACGTCTAGTCTGTTCAAAATGTTTAAAAGACCTATGCAAATCCTAAAAGTAAAGTAGATAAGACATAATTAACCTGTAGCCTATCAATGCTGTCGAATGGCTTTGCTTAGGGTTGTCAAATCACTTAACTTTGGGCAACTCCAATACTGCTTAATCAAGCTTTTACTTAAAAAATTGACTTTTGGTCCTATCTAACTTCTAATTGTGGTTTTCATTCCAGTTTGGTCCACCAAAGAGGTCAGATATTTTTAATATCCACGCTTTTTCCCCGTTGTTTTGCATCTGGTGTATCTTATTGCTAATAATTAGCAGCTTAGTAGGAGAGAATAATTTAGAACAACCATATCAAGATTTGGCCCTTCCATCCCTTTTTAAGTCCCCCCCCCCCTCTCCCATAAAAAATATATAGAAATGAATTAATATCTAATTTGCAAGATTATGACCATTAGTTCCTTTACATCTTTATTGTGCCTTGAACAATAACAATTTGGGAACTTTTGTTTTTTATTCGATTTTGAGTTATAGGTTGAACCTTCCTAAATGACGTACCTCTGTAAATCAAACACTGGAGAATGGTAACAAAAGAATGCCGTCACTATATACGAAGGTTTAGTTTGCTAACAACCTCTTCCAAAATATTACCCCTAGTTTATCTAACATTTCAATAGGGCTTATAATAGTGCTGATTAAGTCAAAGCTAAAAATAATTCCATATCTGATAATTGTGAGCCCTGATATCGCCGGTCTATGAAGTTTGTTGCTCATTGGTATTTCTTGCAATAAAATATACACTTTTGAAGCATTCGCATATTTTCATTAAAAAATTCAAAACGGATTAATTCATTACCTTTTTATAGATAATTATCACTATATTAGACTTCTAAAACTCCAACTTATAATATAGAAATTCTATAAAAAATACATGAAGATTTTTCATTGTCCAATATACAGGGTTTCCCATTCAAAAAAGGAAAAGTGCCAATCAAAAAAGGAAAAGGTCCGATCAAAAAAGGAAGAGGGTCAATCATAAAAGGAAAAGGTTCAATCAAATAAGGAAAAGGTCCAAACAAAAAAGGAAAAGTGTCAATCAAAAAAATGGAAATTCCCAAAAAGAAAGGAAAAAGTTCAATCAAAAAGGAAAAGTGTCAATCGAAAAAAGAAAATTCCCAAAAGGAAAGGAAAATTGTCAATCAAAAAAGAAAAATTCCCATTCAAATAAGGGAAATCGTAATTTTTTTAAATTTTTATTTATTTTTGTTATTCCTTCTTAATTTATTTCTAAATTTTTGCGTACGTTTTTTTCTTACTGTATCTTTTCTCAATTTATTTCTAACTTTTTGCGATTTTCTTTATTTTATTTTTCTTACTATATCTTTTCTCAAATTTTTTCTTCTCATTTTTGATAATTATTTTAAAAATTATATTTAATGTTTTTGGCAGACAACTTGCTAAATTAAATAAATCGTTTGGTTATAATGTACCTTTTTAAAATTAAATAAGTTTGAACTCTAATACCAAACGCTATATAAATTAATAAAATATAATCATTTTTAAATTCTTATTTTTAAAATTATCAAAAATGAGAAGAAAAAAAATTGAGAAATGCTCAAAAAAATAAAGATTAATAATGATGAGATTGAAAAGGTTAAAAATATATGTAAAAGATTACAATGAAAAAATCATAAAAAGAATATTGTATGTATGATGAAAAAAAAACGTAAAGAATTGTTAAAAAAATGGACCTAAATTTAAAAATTATTTTTAAAACAAAAGAATTATCAAAAATGAGAAGAAAAATAAATTGAGAGAAGATACAGTAAGAAATATAACGTAAAGAAGTCGTAAAAAGTTAGAAATAAAGGAATAACAAAAATAAATAAAAATTTAAGAAAAATTGACAAGCAATTTAAAAAACTTATGATTTTCCTTTTTTGAATGGGTTTTTTGATTGACACTTTTCCTTTCCTTTGGGAATTTTCCTTTTTCGATTAACACTTTTCCTTTTTTGATTGGACCTTTTCCTTTTTTGTTTGACACTTTCCCTTTTTGATTGAACCTTTTCCTTTTTTGATTGAACCTTTTCCTTTTTTGATCGGACTTTTTCCTTTCTTTTTAGGAATTTTCCTTTTTTGATTGACACTTTTCCTTTTTTGTTTGGACCTTTTCCTTTTTTGATTGAACCTTTTCCTTTTATGACCTTTTTCTTTTATGTTTGAAACTTTTCCTTTTTTGATTGGGACTTTTCCTTTTTGGAAAACCCTGTAATATGCCTTTACCTCATAATTTGTTGAAAATATAATTAAAGTTTAACCCATCCGTGGGCGTATTAAATAAAAAAAAATATTTATTTTCTACAAACTTTAGTTAATATTTTTGATAGGGCTGAGCTGATCCACATATTTTTCACTGATCCGATCCGATATTGCTTCAAACCCGATCCGATATTTTTACTAATTTTTAATCACCCCCGTTTGAACCAAATGTAATTAAGAAATCAATATTTTTTATGCAAAAAATCGAATATTTTTTTATTTCTACAATTAAGACTATAATAAAAAAATATATATTTAATAATATATCCATTTTATGTTGGAATTATAAAATTGTAATATTTAATATATATAATTATCATATTAGATTTTTTGAGAGCCTCTAAATTTTCTGGGAATAAGCTTCTACGATATGGACAATCTATATCTCTTTCCGTACTGAAGGCAGACTCAGATGATTCCGTAGATAACGCATTTTGAAAAATTATCTTTGTCTTTTGTAAATATTTCCATAATTCAATATTTAAAAAAATTCTTTAAAGTATAAAAAAAATGGCGTTATTTAAAAAGATTTAAAATAAATAAAACTTTTGGTGTTGCTTACTATTTTTATAAAATAAAATTTTTAAAATACTATAAAACTATTATAAAAAATAAATAAAATTTTAGAAAATTATTTAGAAAATATTATAATAATGTAAAATAAATATACATAACATAAAATAACAAAAATAGGAAAAGTAAGATCGGATCGAGGTTTTTACAGGTATCGGCCCGATCCGATATTTTTGGAAAACGCTAAATATCGGTACCGATCCGATCCGATATTTAATTTCGGCACAGCCCTAATTTTTGCACTTTATTCCTATTCTGCATTTCTTATTATAATATAAATATATTCGTCACTAAAAAAAATTTCGGATTAAATTAGTTGACATTTTTTAAAAAATAAAAATATTTAAAGATGTCACATTTTTATATAACATAAAATTTAGGGTGTTGTCCCAATTTTCCCATATGAAGGAGTCTTTATTTTTGAGATACATATATAAAACAGCTAATCCCTATTAAACAATTATTATAGTAAATAATTTAATATCTTTATTAATAAAATTCTAAAAATTAATAAGAATAGTACCTTCGATAGCTTGATTAAATCGTGTGGCAACCATATTTGAAAGCAGAGGGTGCCATTCCAACCAACCGGACAACTTTAATTTTTATAATATATTAATTAGAATAAAAAAGATTTATAGTTAGAATGCATGACATTTCTGAATATATAAAAAGGTGATGGATAAAAGTATAAATATTAGGTATAGTCGCCTTACCCGAGGATAGCCAATTTTATAACTTAATAATATCAAAAACAGGTACAAATTATTTCTTAATTTTTGTAAATTTGGGAATCAAAATGAATGCTTGTTTTCTAATCCCTACTATAGACCTTTCTCATACCTCCAAATTCATATCATTTCATCTCTCACCCAACTATGCCTAGATTATTTAGCTCATCTAATTGCTTTCATAAAGCAAAATAGATATGTTATAACTATATGAATCATCTCTTTACCCTCACCACCTAAAATCTTTGTTCAAAGTCTTTCTCGTTCACGAGGCTTTATTTAAAGGTGTATTCAGCATAACCAAAACTTTTAGGCAATGGATCCCCCTATTTTTAAAAAGAAGCATATTCTGATCTTGCATGGTATAATTAAAGAACCTACTCACTGGAATAGGGTTTAAAATTAAAATTCTAAGATTCCGTTGGTTCCAAATCATATTGACCTAAATCCTGCGAAATTGAAATCCCCTCATCTCATATTCCTATCAACAATGGTTTTCATTTGATGCAATCTCTTCTTTCGTTAATTCTCCATACACCCATCACAGATTACGAATTAGCCTTAGCCCTCGGGATACGAAGTAAAAACACTCGCATACATCTCCCATTAGAACCTTTCATAAAACTTAAATTCACCTCTTGTTGCCCTTCCGTTGATCAATTACTTTCTTAGAACTTTCCCCTCGAAGTCAATCATTCTGTCATTTTAAAGATTAAACTGGCTAATCAAAATGAATTTAAAATATATAAATTCAAATGAAGATTGAGGTATTGGATTAATTAAAGCTTAGGATTATTGAAATTTATATTAACAGAAAGTTGACATGAAAATGAAACATGAAGATGATACGAAATAATAAATTAAGGATATTAAGATTTATATATATATATATTGATATTATTCAAAATCTTTGTATGGTAAAATACCAAATTAAATCATACTGTTAAATTATTTAAATATAATGTCTCATTTATAAGTACTCCTTTAGAAAGTTCATATAGTGGAAACTTATTTATAAGAAAAAAAACTAGCATACCTTTTAGATACCAACTTTAAAAGTTTATTTGCTAACAAAGTCAAGTCAAATAAAAATTTATAATGTCCAAATATTTATGAAAAATAAATATTATATTGTGTTATTTATAGGATTGATAATATTCTCAATTTTTTCGATATGAATAAATATATAAAAAAAATTCTAAAAATATACCACAGAAGAATATAACGCCTAAGGAAAAGTTATTTATTCAATATGCATCCATTTTAATAAATTATTACTTTAAGTAAACTCTTATAAATTAAATTTAACAATATATTGAATCAATACAATTATATTTATTAAACAGGGCATACAAAAATTATTAAAAAACTAAGTTTATTAAAAAATTTATAAAGTAACTTTTATTGTAACTAGTAACTGTAACTGGTCACATTTTTAAAGAGGTAATTTGTAAGTAACCAGTAACTTTTCAAAATTAGTCTTTAACAACACTAGCTATGAGTTATTTACAACAGTTTATGACGTTATGACGTGTCTCTTTGTATTAGTATCATAATTAGAAAATGGATATAAAAAATTTATGCGAAAAAAGGAAGATACTTTTCTTTCCTTTCTAATTCATCTTCCATAGTATCGTTTCCGGCATTTTCTTTTTCGTTCGTAATGGCGGCAGTATTGAAAGGTGTGCGCATCAAATTACGATAAAATCGAATGTCGTCATCAATATTTGTCGAGATGATTTCAGGACTCGATTTGTCGGTGTTACTAGGGCAATAAAACTGGGAGTAGTGAGGATTGCATCGGATAAAATTAAGGCAATAAAAACAAGTCCTGTATAATTTAATTACACATGTTTTTTTTAAAATAAGTTAATTATAAAGTCTATAACTCGTTATGAAAGCGCCCCTCCCCCTTTCCTTCCTCTAAACCAATGACGGGTTCGCTTTTTAACTAAGATGGGTACCCTCTTGATATTTTAATTACCCGATTTATTTATATTCCCCCTTCCATATCAGAGGGCTATGAAATATCGGGTATGGATATAATATGACCTAGCATGTCTAAAAGTAATTTGAGCACGTCCGAATGATAATAGCTATCGAGGACCAATAATATATGAAATTGATGGAAAATAGACCGTCAAATAATTTTACCAATAAATACATATCATTAATCTATTTCTTTCTCTTTTTTTTAAAAAAAAAAATTTACGCTTTAATAGGTATAGGAGATTTTGTGGAAGTGAATAAATGCGTTAATTCTATTATGGTAAAATAAACGAAATCTTTCAAATCTTGATTCCATTTTTCGTATAATACGGGATTATCGACATCAGAAATATGAATACTATGGCTATCATTAAGATTATTATAATGCTCATCGTCAAGGCATGATAGAAAATGCAAGGCAGAATTGGTTAGGTGACTCAATGACCAAAGACAAGCCTTAATCCGAACATTCAAATTTTCGACATTTGAAGATAACGAATTTGATTCGATGATGGGTTTGAAGTCACTAAGATAGAGATTCTTCAGCTTCGATAAGGTATTCTAACATATTTATATTTAATAATTATAAATATTTGCTTTTTTTCAGAGATGCACCGATATCGAAACAAGACCGATATTAACACGGGCTCTTTCACTATTTCTTTCTTTTTTTCCAAAGAAATTAATTATTCCATAAAACAATCAATTGATTTGAAACCTATCTAGATATTGAACTTAGGAATTATGATAAAAAACCTGTTTATAAAGGAACGACATTCCCGGAAGATGTTCCGCCATCACATAAAAGTGTATTGGAATGCTCGAACTTATTTCATCACCAATGTAAACTAATATATATTTTAAAATATGAATTAAAATAATATTTAAAATGATAATAAATGTGCGAAGAAAAAGATAATTAATTAATTCTGGATATATTAATTTACTAAGGTTTAAAAAATTTAGACACACCATTCTAATTAGCTGATTTATACCCCATTGACCTTATTTTTTTAAATATTTATTTATTTAAAAAAACAAAAATTACGCCTGTTTTGATTGCAGAAAAAGTTATAGCAATTGTCGCTTTCAGAGCTCGAATAAGAACTACGATGACCCAAAGAAGGCTCGTAACCTAGATAGCGTATAGATATACGAGTTTCAATTATGTTTGGATATTCTGTTACGTAAATCTAAACATATATATATATTTGTTTTAATGAAGAGTAATATAATCGAGAATGGCCTAGCTAGGAGAGAACAAAACATGTTCATTCTTCGCATACCTTTTTTTAATATTCCCAATTATCTTATTTTAGAAGAATCCAGAGGAATTTATAATGTATTTTTAACTAGAATAGCCATGATGAATAGAGTAATTGGCTTTCTTAAAAATCAGGAGAATTTTTTTTTTATTAAATCAACCTATTAAATTATCATATATAATTATTCCAACTATATTATTTAAAAATGTAGGGGAAATTTTTATATTTAAAATTATTATAAAAAATCTCGAATGGTGGAAGGCGGAATCGTCTTCATTTCTGACTAGGGGACTAATTTGAAACAATTGTTAAAATTTGCGCAAATGCTAATCACCCATCGAGTATTTTAAATCTAGAATTTTTTTTATTGTATATCACTATATATGTCGTATCGGGGATATGAAATTAGTGGCATGGGGATTTTAGAATTTCTTAATTTTAAACAACTATATCTGATTTGACCGGAAGTGTATTCCAGCATGTATAGAGAAGTCCATACTGACGGCATTGATCTTTAACTTTTGAACTCTATTAATTCAAAAAAAAATATTCAAAAGTTCTTTAAAAATTGGCTAAAATTCATAAGGTAGGTACTCTACACAAGCTGGAATACTAATTATCAAAATCATCACAGATTCCATAATACCAATATGACACATATATGTCAAATTTTTTCTTTCTTTATTTAATTATTATCAAAAATATAAATTAAAAAATTATTACTATTTATTATAATATTCAATGGCTTATTTACCTTTTCCCACTTTGCCATTAAATTAGAAATAATATTGCCATGATTTGCTTGCGATAGAACTAAATAACCATTGATATCTTTAGTGATTCTCGTCAACAGATGATCGCAAAAATATTGGCATTTCGATATTGACACCGTTTCATCGTGTTCAAAAGAATTTCGAATTTCTTCGCATTGGTGAAGGTGGTCCAAAAAAGTTTTTGTATAATTATTCTGATTTGTTTTATTTTTATAAAACCAATACCATAAAATATTATACTCAAAAAAAAACAAGTAATCGTTAACGTCACCTTTTTAAAAAAAAGTATAGCAATTACTAATGATATTTTAACTTGCCTTTTATATTCATTACATAATTTATAATTTAATTTATATTGTTAAAGTAAACTATTTGCAAGTTTTAATAAATAATAGTATAAATTATCTTTGAAATTTTATTTTATTTGATATTTAATTTATTTATATAATATTTTAATTGATATTTATTTATATTTTTATTGGTCTACTTGGATGTCATCAAATATATTAAAGAGTAGTGATAGTGAGAATGAATAATAACGGAACCATAATCTTATCAAATGAAGAAGAAAAAACAGTATTTTGATTTCTTTTTTTTGAGGATAGATATTGATATATAATATCTATGAAAATTAGTGTCAAGACTTATTCCCAAGATAAAATGATTCTTTTTTGAAAATGAAGATATGCCTGCCCTGATGACAAGAAATCAAAATTTATTGTGAATAAAGTTACCAATCCCTACTTAATTTACACATATAAAAACCTTGTTCATAACATATATTATACAACATCACTGCCATCCTCACATTTATAGAACGGATGTTCAATAAAACTAAAGCGGTGCATAGAGATAAACGTTCTTGTTCATCGATAAGCAATTCTGCGAAATAATTATTAGAAATTAATTATTTTTTTTTAAAAAGAAGTAATATAAAAAGCAAAGATCTTCAGTTTGTTCAAGAATATATTTGGTTATAGAAAAATATCGAAGATTACTAAACATTCTGAGGCAAGTTTTTAATTGCCACATCTAAAAAATAGAATAACATTAAAAGACAAAAATATTAAATAATTTTTTATTTTAGGTTTTATTAATTTGAGAATTTTTTTTATAAATTTTGAGGTATTTAAAAATATATTTAGGATACAGCCTTAATAAAGGAAAATAAATATTTTAGAAAGTTTTATATATTTTTGATTTCCCTGATAACAAAAGGAGAACTTACATGCTTATCCACAGGAAGTTTTAAAAACAACAACAAAATGGAAATTAATGACGAAATAATGATATTTTATTTCAAAATAGTGAATATTCTTTTTTAATTATATATTTTAATTGCAATTTAAAAAAAAATTAAATATTGTTTTTAAATTTTTTATTTTGTATATTCCATAAAACAAATGGTTATCCCAACCTAATTTTTCCAACATAAATTTATATTGATTTAATATGGCATATTTTTTTTATATAAAATTGTATCAACTTAAATCTCTTTTTTAAATTAAATTATTTTATATTTCAACTTTAATTTTATATAGTCATTTTAATTTAATTTGATATAAATATTGTGATTCATAGTAAATATTATATATAGTTAGACCTGTGCGCCGACAAAATATCGGCTGCCGGCGCAATTTTTTAAAAATTTAATCGACGGCCGGCGGCGCGCCGATTTTTAGCCGCCGTCAATAAAATCGGCGTAAATCGGCGCATATATAAATTTTTATAAGTTAAATTTTTTTAATTGCTTATTAATTTTATAAAAAACAAATAAATATACACTATTCTACAGATATCTCGGCATATTTTTTAATATTCATTTAATAGAAAACTTATTATATCCAAAATCTATTTCGTAATTTAATTATCATGTATAAAAATTATTTTATTGATGATCTCCTTGAATTTAACGTCAATCCAGCGGTAGAGAAAACTCTTTCACTAGGTGTGCTAGTGGCCGGAATGCAAAGAATTTTTTTGGCGAGTCTGAAAAGATTGGGAAGGTCACTCTTCTTTTCTTTCCGAAAATTTAGAACGTCCATATCTTGTGAATGTCGTTTTCCAAGAAAACTGTGGCATTCTTGTTCTAAGTCACCTAACTTGGAATCATAATTTATATTTGTTGCATGTTTATTTGTCAATTTTGTCAAATAACTTGAATTAAATAATTCATCTTCATCCTCATTAGCTATATTTACTACCTGATTATCATCATTCTCTATAAGTTTAAGATGTTTTATTATAAATTTTGAAGCTGAGCAATTTTGCTCTATTAAAAACTTTGATACAATTAAACCATTATCGTAACATTAAATATTAACCCTATCACTCATTTAACATTATAAGATTTACTTCCCGCATGCCAAACGAGTTCTTTCCTTCCCCATTTTTTGTACCTTGTTGTGTTTTCAAGACTTTAATATTTATATATATATTTTTTTTTGGAGGTGGTGCATGTTGTATGATACAACGTATATTATGTATTTTAGGTGGTGTTTTCAATTACAATTATGTTTAATATTACTTTTTGACAAATGTTTCATTTAAGGCGAAAAGAAGATATATTATAATGTAATAATATATTTAAGGTTGTTAATTATATAACGTTATTGGAAACAATTGATTTTCGAGATATATAAAGAATATTTATTTTGATATATACACAAATAAAAAAAATTCATTTTTATTTTTCTTTTGTATAAGCATATTATTCATTAAAAAGATCACTTGTTTAACCATATTATCAAATAAAAAGACCACATCACATTCAAGTTATTCTATATATGTTGTATTCCATATTAAATCAACCAAAAAAAGTCGATTCTCAACCCGACCCCCTTCGATTTTTTTAAAAATTTGTATGTTGGTAGTATATACACTAACTAATAAAAATGTAAAATTTTACTTTTCAAATCGGCTTACTTCATGAGATATGGCCATCTTTAGAAACGCGAAAATTCTAAAATACAGTATATTTAATTTTAAATATCTCAAAAAGTAATTAAGCTGAAGGCATGATTTAAATTTTATTAAATAGCTCTAAAATAGCCATTTAATATGATATAAAAATTATTTTATTAATAAAAAGTCTATTACCAAAAACCGGAAATAGAAAACCGAAATAGCTATAAAATAAAAATTGCTCTTTTTTTTTCTTTCAAATTTTTTTTACAAATAGACATTATACTTCTTAATATTTGTACAAAATTTTAGATTGGGACCATTACTGGGCCAATAGTTATTACGCTTTAAATATAAATAGTATGGCTTAAATCTTAAATTATACCAAATATATAGTAATTTACGAAACAAATAAAAAGAAAATTCCTTTATGATCGGGCCGATTATATTTTTTTATAAATGTTTCGGGCTGTGAGCCCACTAGTAGACATATGTTATAAACATATAAGTTTAGCGATTTTATTTGAGAGAGAAAATAATTGTAAAAATATTTATAACTAACTTTATTTAGCTAATTATTTATATTACATGAATATCAAATGGAAAATTAATATTGTTATAAACATATTAAATTAAATAATATCATACATTAAATTATCTAATGAATTAGAATAACGTTTGACTTTCATTTTTTCCATTAACTTTCATTGATATAAAATTATTCATACCTGGCATAAGTCTGCTGTTTTCGTCAGAATTATAAAATTCTATTACTTTATTTGCAATGTCATCCGGAATTATTCTACTTGGTTTTATGATATCTGGGTTTGACAAAACACCCTTTTCTTCAACTAATTGTTTAGCTGTCCGGGCCATAAAATTTGTGGTTGAAAATTCCTTTTCAATTTTATCAAGGTCCAAGATTTTGGTAAAACTGTTAAAATTTGTATTTTTTCATTGCGAGAACTTGTAGCAAATTTTTCTTTCAGTTGATTTATGATTTCGGCTTCATCTTTTTTTGCTTGATCCTCTAGATTTATTTTAAAAACTTTTTTAATTTTTCCCTGAATTTTCAAAAATTTATTTACAGGATATTTTTTTTCATTTAACCTTTTCTTTTTAATAGGTGTCTCCCCTAAAAATGGCAAAGTTTCATTTAAAGTTGAAATTGAAGTATTAAAATCTGTATAAGAGTCGGGATTATTGCATGGTTGATCAGGTTCAGAATCGCTAAATGTTTCATTAATAGTTGAGGTAGAAGGTAAGTTAGAAATAGAAGGTAATGTGATCGGGATCGTAGAAGTAAAAGGTGAGATCAGATATGTTGAATATTTTTTTAATTTTTTCCGGCAAGAGCTACAAATTTTTTGATTAATTGATAAGCTAGAATTCACTTCTCTCATCCATTGTAAAACATTTCTAAGATCGTAACGTACTGAATGAGATTTTATTCTAAAGGGATTACAGCACTTTACTGGAATATAAATATCTTTTCTAGACATTTAAATTTTTTTGGTAAAGAATAAAAGATAGCTATTAATTTTATATAATTATTTTAAATTAAAAATAAATTGGATAATGAATACCGATAATTTAATTTTCTTAGAAAAATGGCTTTATAAATTTAATCAATATAAATGACGGCTGTTGCTGTTGGAATTGAATTTGATTTTTATGATAATTATTTTATTTAATAATTAATTTTAAGTAGAAAATAATCTTTATGAAAATATATTTCTGACGATCACAAAGATAATTTTTTATTTGGCAAAGAAAATAATCTACATAATTCACTCATAGAATTGCCAGGTCAAAAATCTCGAATTTAAGAAGGGATTTTTTTTTTTGGGGGGGGGGGCGAATATAAATCTTAAGATGGGGTTCGGATTTCAGTTTTAATACTATTATTCACAAATATTATCACTTTTGTTAAAAAAATAATTACTCATTTCGTATAATATAGAATTTAAGCCATACTATTTATATTTAAAGCGTAATAACTATTGGCCCAGTAATGGTCCCAATCATGGTCCCAATCTAGGATTTTGTACAAATATTAAGATATATAATGTCTATTTGTTAAAAAAATTTGAAAGTAAAAAAAAGGGCAATTTTTATTTTATAACCATTTCCGGTTTTCTATTTCCGGTTTTTGGTAATAAAATTATTTTCAATATAATAAATTTTATATCATATTAAAGGGCTATTCTAGAGTTATTTAATAAAGTTTAAATTATATCTTTAGCTTAATTACTTTTTGAGATATTTAAAATTAAATATTATGTATTTTGAACTTTTCGCGTTTCTAAAGATGGCCATATCTCATGAAGTAAGCTGAGTTGAGAATTAAAATTTTATATTATTGCTAGTTAGTGTATATACTACCATCATGCAAATTTTAAAAAAAATCGAAGAGGGTCGGGTTGAATCTTCAGTTGATTTGATATAGAATACAACATATTTATTCTTGATTTTTTTAACGGCGGCGTTTTCGGCGCAATCAAAAAAGTGGCCGGCCGGCGCACAGGTCTATATATAGTTATGTTTCAAGGAAAAAATAGTAAAACGCTATTAAAAAATATTTTAATAAAAAGAAAATATAAAGGTCAATAATATTTATTCCGCAAGGTAGCGTATATAATTTAGAAATATTTTAAAAATGATTTATATTTAGTTATTTAAAAATAATTGTCAATTTTTGATATAGAAAAAAAAATGTTTTGTATTATGGTTTAAAAATTATTTGATTTCTTATATAAATTGCTTCATAATTCACCCTGAGAGATGCATTTACTTAAAGGTCTGGTCTCAACCCCCCCCCCCCCCTCCCTCCGTATTTTCCATCTTTGGTTATATTCCAATAAGGCTTTAGCTAAGTTTTCTATTATATAAAAAAATTCGCCTCAAGCTTAAAGTTGTGGTTTAACTAAGAGCTCCATCTGAACACAAATATAGTCATCTTACACATCTGCAGTTTATACAAGATCCAGGTCGATAGTAAAGGGTCACCTTTCTTTACATTGCAAATACTCCAAAGGTAGGTATTCACGCCACTGGATAATTAGTAACCTAATGCACAAGGCTCTACTATCAACCAGCATTCCTTCCATCTTAGAACCAGTTGGATCAAATATATCTGACAACAAAATACCTTACGCCTTGGTCAAAAGGCTAATCTTTGGTATGGAATTATACCTGCATAGATGTGTTTGCAAAATGGAACTCACAATACGCATCCATTGAAGCTGTCGAATCATCGAAACCTAAACGCAACAAATATTCTCAATTAGAAAACATATTTTATTTTACTCTTCATTACTACCATGAGGAACTTCGGCCAAGAAGCGATCCTCTTTTTAAAAAGGTAAAGAAAAATAACTACAATCACTGAAGATTCCAAAGAAAATTTTATACCCTAAACAAAGATATAAAGATATGCAGATTCAATGTTATCTCCATGCTGGGATCTATGCCAGACAATATTTAAAATATACCTTTTTACAGGCTTGATAAATTCTTTTAAAATTCCGGTGGAGCTTAAATACTCGACCTCTTCGGGTCATAGATAAATATATAATAGCACAAAATAAAATAAACTATTAATCAAAGTTTGAAAAAAATAAAATTGTGATTTTCATCTTGAAAGATTTTTTCTTGCATGAAAGTTACAAAATATTTTACTTATAAAAGATTTTTTTTTATTAAAAAAATATTTGGCATTTTTAAGGTAAAAATTTGATCAAAAATCTTTAATAATTTTTTTTCTTCAAACTCTGCTTTGTATAATATAAAAAACTTGCGATAAGGTTAATATTTCGTCCAAAGCCAAATAGCTGAGATACAAAATCTGATCGTCCTCATTTTCGGGATTCAAGGTAACTTTGTTGTTCCCTTTGTAACAATTTTTAGGTGACGATGAAATCAAGCATTCGCGGAATAAAGTTGGTATGGTCCAATTAAAATCGAGGAAATTGGGTTTTAAATCAGGACCCCTGCACGATATTCGCGCCAATTTTAAAAGGGATCTAATGTTGTGTACGGCATAATACTTGGTTTCCTATTATAGTAAAAACACAAGAATATACGACGTAATGTCTTATAAATTTGATGGAAAATATTAACACTATTTTAGATTTTATTACAGTAACCAACAATATATTTTTTTAAAAAAAGGTGTACCTACATAGTTGGGAAATAGTATATGAAGCGATCTCATGGGGAAGATCCTGACAACTCGAATTGGATTTTTTTTTTTTTAAATAGGTATTTGAGGATCTCTTTTAAATTTATAATATAATTTTTCAAGAAAAAAAAATAATTAACACCAAATAATTAGTATTGTTAAAAGGTTAGATTTTTTATAAAAGAGGGATATATTAGCCAAAAAATATTACGCAATATTGAAGATTTTGCTCATAGATAGAAGAAAGGTTTGGACATCTATTAACGAAGTCCTTAAGGCTTATACGTAATATTTTTTTGGCTAAGATCTTAATAAATGAGCTAAATCGAAGAATATAACTGCACTACAAATAATTAAGTTCTCTAAATTATATTTAAAATATTTTAGGTTACCTTGAATAACCCTTCAAAAATTTCTAGTTTCCTTTGCATTTGCTCTTTATAAGAATTAATAATTTTATAATAAATAATTTATTTATTTTCATATAAAAATATTTTTTTTACATATTTTAACTTTGATAAACTTAATATGTAAGTTTAAATCATTTATTTTATTTTAGTTGAAATTTTTTTTTACAAAATTCGCATTTATTTAAGTATATTTATCATATAAATATTAAAAAAATAAGCTATTCACTTTTATTGAAGATTTGTAATAATACATAAAATATATATTTCCCCACAAGAGTGCGCTATATATTGAGAACATAATTTGTTAAAAATTAATGGAAAAATAAATATTTTTTAAAAATATTTTAACACACCCATAAGTCGAAAATAACGTTATTTCTAAATTATTTTTAGAGTAATTTCACAATTATAATCAATAAAACTAATCAACAAAAGAGAATTGTTATTTTATTAAAATATTAAATTTATAACTCTTGAAATATTTAAAATGATAAAATAAAATACTAATATATAATTTGGCTAAGAAAGATAGAATTAATTATTATAAACGTTGCTAAAAAAACTCCAAGCTATTTTTATTATAGTAAAGTTCTAAATAAATTTTATTCATGTTAAATAAATTGCTTAACCCCCTCCAAAAAATTCAATTAAAAACACAAAATTAGAAAAATACAATTAAATTTTATATTACGTCACAGCTCCATGATCTTTAGCCTAATAAATTTTTTTTGCAAAGATCATAACTTTTCATTTTCAAATGAGCAATTCTGCTTTTGTAAATATTTAATTATTTTTATGTATAAAAAAATCTTTCACGATAAAATAATACAAAATTTCATACTTTGTTGATCTTCAAAAGATTTTATTAGATATTTGAGAATTTATTTAATTTATAATATTGATAATATCAAATAAAAAAAACAGCTGGATTTTAAAAAACGTGTTAACCCGATATTTTAGCCAAAAAATATTATGCAACTCTGAAGATTTTGCTCATAGATAGCAGAAAGGTTTGGACATCTATTAAACGAAATCTTGAGGCTTATTAAATTTAAAATTGGAGATATCAACGCATTTACACTATAAAATTGTCTACTGAATTATTAAAAATATTTTAAATTGTTTTGAGCAACCCTTCAAAAATTTCTATAATGGGCAATATTCTTAGACAAGCTCCTAATAATTTAATTTATCAAGCTCAAAATAATCATAAAATATGATATATATAATAAAGTTATTTTTTACTTTTGTAAGCTTATTAGGATGTATGTTTAAAATAATTTGCATTATTTTAGTTGAATTTTTTTCCACAAAAAATTTTCTTATTTGTATACTACATTTATCATATATATTTAAAATATTAAAAAATAAACTATTCTATTTTAATAATAATACATAAAATCGTAAGTTATAAATTATCCGCAAGAGGGCGCGATATATTGGAAAGATAATTTTTTTAAGATTAAAATAAGTTAATAAATTGGCAAAAATATTAGTTCCAAAATTATTTTTAACAAAAAAAAAGAAACCGAAAATTGCTTAGGATTTTTAGTTCATTACAAAAACAAACCAGAAAAATTTTATTCATTTATTTTTATTAATTTAAAAAAAATATTACCATAATTTTTAGATCCATATTTCTTGACAATCTCTAAAAAGAAATCAAGAATCTACAGCCGTGTGCTGAAAAAAAAATTCTGCAAGAATTGGGGAACAAATAAATATATTTATGTTTTCTTTAAAATTGAGATATATTTTCAAATAAACCATGACTAATGTAATCATTTTCGGACTATAAATTAGATTTAATCTTTTTTTTATAGATAATTTGTTTAAGAAAATTAACAATAATAAATATTTTATAAAATATTTCAATATAGTTATGGATTGTAAAAAAAATTTAAATATAAAAAATTGACTAAAATTAATTTTCTTGTCAATAATATCTACCGACAAAAAAAACCCACCGGGATAAAGTTTTATTCATAATAATAAATGATGAATTATCAACAATATCAACAAAGGACATTGGTTGAACTGCATCAATTATAAAATTGACAAAGATTTAATCAGTCAGTTTCTGCGAAACATCAGAATGTATAGTACTAGGATTAATAAATGTGGTGTGAATTTAAAATTATTCAGATATTTTTCAATATCCCTATCATTATTGGCATTCAAAAAAATAAAAATACAGAATTTAAAAATAAATAATACTTTAAGGTTTAAACTGTAGAGGATATAATTTTCCTGTATGTAAAAACCTAATTTTGCAGACAACTTTTGTTTTTCCATTCAGTTAAAAATATTTTTCTAATTTTGGAAAAATTGATTTTATTATCAAGATTATCATCTTCATCCCATATAATTTCGTTAATATTATCTGTGACTTACTCACTTACATCAATATTATTATTTGTGTAAACACTTTAAATATTTTACATCAGTTGATTTAGATTTATAAATACAAATTTAGAAAATATAAATTTCATTTTCAAAATTAAATAATAAAATATATTCTTTAAAAAAATGTAGCGTGCTATAAGTTATCGCTTATACAATAAAGATAGGACGCTACAGTAGCGCGCATCTTTAAAAACTAAGGATTTAACTCATTTAAAGTCTACAAAGCCCGGACCGTTAAGAATTTTAGATGGGTGGAACGTGTAACTATTAGTAATTTTTTAAAAGAACCCAAAAAATAAACGACAAGGAAAAAATGAAACCTTATCAGTGTTCTTCAGAACGCTTAAATAGATGTCCCTACATTTATCTTGAATCGCAGTGAAGGGCGTAGCGTCAGAAGTAGAGGTCACATGATCGGGGTGGTAAAAGCAAACGAATATGGAAGAGAGAATCAGTTTTGTCAAAGGGACATGATTTAATTTTACGATCTTTTCGAACCTAATTTTTTAATATTATAGCAATTATGTCAAATAAAGTAGTTTTTTGGAACCGCGGTACATCTAAGAACTGATAGTAGAAACTCTTTTAAAAAAATTTCTAAGGAACCGGAGGCTTGATTCCAAATTCCGAAAGGGATGAATAAAGGTAAAAGTAGTTTTGGGGAAAAAAATGTTGTTTCAAATTGTTGTTCCATTTTCTATCGTATTTTTAAAAAAAAAATTAGAAATTTTTTCCATACTAGCTTTATTTAAAATAATCTTTATTATGGTATTAATAGCAAAAAAATTTCCTTAGCAAATTTACGAAAATATTAATTTATGTTAGAATTCCTTCTAGATTCTAAGGAAAATGTTGCCAGCCTCATCCTTATTTTTTTGGATGTAACAATCTATGCTTTAATAAAATATTATCAAATTTTATGTAAAAGATTGTTATAATTTAAATAATTGTGATCGATTCTTTGAAAATAAAATTGACAACATTCTAATTCTATCCCCCAAAAATATATATATTTTTTTTAAATAATGAAACATTTAAAAGATTTTACTCATTTATTTTTTTTGAAATTTCCGTATAATTTTGTAACTTAAACATGCTTATTTTCTAATATTTAAATATTTTTTTAAATAGAATTATATATTACAAAAAATAAAAATATAAAATTTGACAAGATCAAAAACAGCAAAATCCGTGTTTTCTTAAGTTTAATTTTTTTAAAGAAAATATTTATTCCGAATTAACTATACTTGTCTAGTATAGTATAGATACAGTGATCTGATTCTGATTGAATATCCATAGATGTAGAGCCAGAACGAAAATAATGGGATAACAAAATACCGCAAATCAAGAAATAGTATTGGGAATTCAAGGCTCCCACGTTATATAAATTGAAAATTGACGAAGATGGTATCTTTGTTAGGCAAGCCTTTTATTTATAAATTTTTTTTATTGTTACGTTGTTATGTTTAGTGTAATAAAAATATAGTTAAAATAGTTTTATACACCTAAAATCAAAATTAGTCTTAAAAATACTTTTTCTATCTTTCTTTCTATTCTTTCAATTGATTCAAACGACAATACGGTACAAAATTAACCGTAATGTAGTTTGAAGGTTTTTTATTTAAAAAAGACAAATCGTAATATTTTCGCAAAAAATTTAATAGTAGAAACCTCATTTAAGACTGAATCAATGCCGACCAGCATAGTTGATAAATGCTGATAGATCCATTGGGAAAGAGATATTTCGGTATTACTACAACCCGGAGTATCAGCTTCGTTCCCGGCTTTAGAGTCATGTCTGAAGAATGAATTTAAGCTTCCACGGGGAGAAGTCTTGACTTTTAATTTTCGGTAATATTTGAGCATTTTATAAGTCAATTTTGAAGAGCCACCTTTTTTATACCTATTATTGCTTTTACCTATGTTGTTGTCGTCTTGGCGATTCAAGATAATCGTGATATCGATCATCGTGTCAGGTTTATTTTCATCGGTCAGAAATCGGCAAAGAAGATTTAAAATGAGGAAAAAGGATTGGGTTCGCGAATCGTTAGCGGGAGAGGTTACGGTATTACTTCCGTAAATCGACTTTTCCCCCTTTTCTCGATTGGTCGTAGATATCCCGTATTCCGAGATGAAGGAAGAATGGGAGGATTTTTCGGATTTATCGGTGTGCTTAACCGGAGTCAAGGGCGGCAAAAAGTATTCCCATATTATTTCGATCAACCTTGTTCAAAAAAAAATCACATTAATACTTGTATATTATGCTTTTGTATCCCAGTGGTAATTTTTTTTAGGGTTTCCATGTCAATTCAGCGAAACTTTTATCGCAAATCCACATTAGCGAATGCTCTTCCGCGAAGACAATATAGCGAATTTTTTATAGCGAAATCTTTCCGAAACCTTTAGCGAATACATTACAGAAAAACTTTTATCGCAATTTAATAATTGCGAAAATTTTATAACGATCAATATCGCGATAATTGTTTGCTAATAATGACTATTATATGAAAAATTTATTTTTATGATATTATTAATTGAATAATATTTTTAAAAAATAGTTATTTCAATGATAGAGTTTTTAATTTTCCTTTAGCCTTAATAATCTAAAATTAATTGGAATAAAATATTTTTTGCTATCCTGCCCTATGCCTTTCCTCGAAGTCTTATTTTATAAAACGTGAAAAAGGAACTCAGGCTTTATTAATATATTAATCATTGAGTTCATTAGCTAAACCTAGTCCTTATTGGCGAAATTGATATCTGGGTTGCGCCAATATTTACTGTCTGAAGTCTTTAATATGCAAAAATTTATCAATCAGTTTTTGCCATTCACTAACCAAGAGTTGTAAGCTATTAGAGTGTCTATAGAATTTTGATTGGGATTAAATTTCATCTAAGTGAAATAAGAGATTTCTATAATTTAAAATATTTTGAATCTTAGGATTTTAAGATCTTTATAGATATTTTTATTTTATCTTCTCTTTAAATTATTAGTTAAAATTTAATAGGAATCTAAATCAAATATTGAGACGCAGCTTTAAGCATGATTGCCAAACTTTTCATACATTAATTCTGTAGCTTAAGCCAATATGATGCTTAACCAAAATACTTATAGGTTAGTGTTACAGCATATATTATTTTTTTCCCCGTAATTACTCATAATTAAAACTACTTAAAGTAATTTTTAATGAATTCCCAAAAGATGATTTTCTAAGCAATTGAATTTCTTAGGAAATATAATAAATTGCTCATAAATATTTACTATTTATTTTATTTAAGTGCATAAACATGATTTTTTGAGTTTTAATATAAATCATTACTCCGTGTCTTAATAACTCGGAAAATTGAATAAAATAATTATGAGAAAATTAGCAAAAAATCTGAGCTTTTATAGTATTATTTTATATTGACTTGAAAAATTCCTAAGCATTTTAAAATATTTGTTCATATTAACTATTAATGGCATAAGCACATTTAAAAAAATTATGTTGGAGGGGGGAGGGAGTAAATTTATTGGGGTAAAAACCTGAACCAAATATTTCCTTCGTAATTACAACCCTGCGTGATACGAGCCCAGAAAGATACTGATTAATTTTTTTTTTAATCAAATCAGATAAAAGTTATATGCTTACTTAATAGACAATAGGTAACAAAAGATCCATAAAACATTTCGCGTTTATGATTTAAGGAACTTTTGTGAGTAAAATTCAATATGTTGTTTTACTTTAAATAAATGCATTCGCAATATATTTATTGTTTCGCGGTAATGTGCTCGCGATAATGACTTCGCGTAAACACGTTAAAAACGCTGTAAAGGGTTCGCTATAACGGGTTCACGATAAGTTCCGCTAAAATGTAGTCGATTTAATGAATTAACGGTTAAGGTTTCGCGGAAGTAAATTCACGATAATGGCTACGCTATAAATGTTTCGTGGAAAAAAATTCGCCTTGTTACTTTTTCTATAATATTCTTCGCGTTAAAAATTTCGCTGAATTGACCTGATACGCTTTTTAGATCTAGGTCTAGCCCTCGGGCGATGGATCGAAGATGTTAATATTAAATCATTTCATTTTTCTTTCTTACTTCTTCCTTTCCTATTCTGAAATGTAGAAACAAATTCATAATTTTTTTTAATTAAAAGAACATTAAATTAAAAAGTATTAATAAGTAAATAAAATATTTTACTTTAATAGATTTGTCCGCCAATCTACCAATCCTTCTTTACGATCCACTCGCAGTATACTCCCCAAACCTCCATCATTATCTATACGATTCAATAAAACTAAGAGAGCTTCCCAATTCCATATGAGGGTGTCTTCTTCTATAGTGTCCAGGGATAATCGATAATTTATAGGGCGAATAATTCCGGTGTCGGATAAATTTCTGCCCCTTTTCCAACGAATTTTTCTAAGACCTTTAAGATTCGTATCTTTGGTTGGACTCGAAATTGGGGCAAATATTTTGGTATTTCGTATTAATTTTCGATAAAAACTGTCATTCATCTCTTTCTTTCTATCTTCATCGGCCAATTTTGAGTAACCCGTATTATTTCTCACACGACTTTTAGAATTATCGAGCAAATTAGCATTGACCTCTCCGTCGACGCTCAACTTTTTTTTGATACGGAGAGAAAGATCCTTCAAAGATAATTGTCTCGACCTTTTACGGAATGGTACAGTAGTCGTCTCTTTAGGCGCATCAATGGTCTCTTCGGACACGTTGATAGAAGGCATTTTCGCGATATTCGATGCGTAAACAAGGTAAGCAATGATGCAATCTCTGATTACGCGCGCAAAGATTGAATTGTAAAATATTTTTGAGACTGAGGTGGTTGTGTAGGGACAATTTGCTTTCGAATTTTGAGATTTTTCAAGATGATTTCTTTTCGGTAAATCAGGATTAATAGTGATGTTGTTCTCCGAATCGGAAATATTCGAATTTAAACTCCGGGTATTTGCAGGAGCCATTGAAGAAGTGGCATTTTCGAAATTCCTGAATGTAGACAATTTTCGATCAATGTAGCATAATGCCGAAGAGGCTAATGATCTATAAGGGAAAAGATATAATTTTGGCTTTCTTTATTTCATTTATTCATTAAAAAATATTTTAAAAAAAACACTATATTGTTTTGCACACTTCTCCATAATCTGATGAGCGGTTGTATTCGAATTTTCAATATGAGCAGTATGGCTTAAGGTATATCGCAATGATTTTTGGACTAGAAGACTCAAATCGTTGAGAAAATATTTGATATAATCATCTTGATTAGGTGATAAATAGATATGCGTCTAAGGGTAAAAACAAAACCTGAATTAAAATTTAATATTTAAGTTTTCTTTTTAACAAAAAATATATTTAATCAAAATTGGCAGCTATAATTTTTTTTATATAGAAGTAATATTAAAACATTAATGAATATATTTATAAATTTTTTTTGAAATAAAAGTTAATAAGGTTTCGAAAAATATTCATCAATTTTGAATAAATAAATATATTCCAGAAATTGAGAATAAAAAAAAAGGATAATTATTCAATAATATTTTCAAAACGGCTCGATACAGCCAATTTATAAAATAATATTTTAACCATAATAGCTTCAAGATTTAGTTAATAGATGGTCAACCTTTTCTACCATCTACGAGCTAAATTTCCAGTCTTGCGTAATATTTCTTTGGTTAAAATATTAGGTTAACCGTTTTTTAAAAAATTGAGCCGCTTAACAATATATATAATATTCATTGTAAAAATGAATGAATGAATTCCGAACCCTGATTTATAAAAAAATATCTAGTAATCATATTGATAACTTACCAAAATTAGTATTTCGCCGACTAAATAAGTTGCCTGGACGGAGACAGCTTCGTTCATAGATAGCTCATAATCGTATCTATTAATGATGGCTCCCATTAAGGTCTTTTAAAAAAGATTTCGTAAATACATTACAGCATATGTTTTACAATAAAAAAATTTCATTTTATGAGGCGCAAAATAATATAAGGATCGTCATCGTTAAAATGGTTTTTTTTTAAAAAAATTAATCTACCTAATAGTTGATGAATATTATTTATCAACGAAAGACGACGGGTAAAAGGGTTGGAAGAAAGAGGGTCAAGACCTCGAGAAAGGCCCAAGACGAGGTGGATAAAGGTGATAACGGAAGATATGAGAAAGCAAATAGTGATGCTCGGGACTGACAAAAATGGAGGAGAATCAGAAGGGAAAATGGCTTACCGGGTAAACCTGGAAATTGCCATTAAATGGAGAAGAATAATAGTGAAGAATTCCATTATTAGCATATAATTTTGTGATTAGGTTTGGTTTAAAAAACGACCAGACTACTTTTTAGAGTATTTAATTCTCAATTGGGCTCTAATAATGAAATTCAATTCTGGTCCATTTTTTTGCAACTAAATCATTCAATGATTGGATTTGACTAATTATCAACACTTAGTATAAAATTCGAGCTCATTTCAGAGCATTCGGGCGCATAATATAATTGAAAGAATCGGTGACGGTGAATCTCTTCTTTATATTAATTACCTTAGCTAGTGTCGTATTTGTAAATACGTGAACGTTTTATATTTTTTTTTTACGCGAAATGCCAATCAACCAATTAAAATAAGGTTGATTGGATAGAAAGATTAGATGTAATATATTATATGTGGATTTTATTATATTTTTAATTAATTAATTTTTATAAAAAATTACGGATATTTTTTTTATAAAGAAATGAATTTTCTTTTGAATAAAATTTTTGGATTTATATTGTAGTTTTATTTGTCTTTTGATTTGATAATTTCATATAATTCTTGACGATTTGTTTTTTAGAAAGTTTGGTTAAGTTTCTAGGATTTGTTTGGGTAGATTTTAGATTTGTTTTAGTTTGTGTTTGTAGGTTTTTTTTTAGCTAGGTTCCAACCATACTCGTAAACTGTATAATTATTATCTTATCTTCGGTCACATGATTTATGCTTTCTCGCATTCCTTCCCCTTCCCCCACCAGTCCCACTTTAATTGGTCCATGGAGACTTAAAAAATTTTAATAACTTCCAAAAAAAAATTACTCAAATAAATTTATGTATAATAAGAAGTATTTCCGATGGCTGGAAAAGTTTATCTCAACAAAAAAGATGCATAATAATTTGCATAGATTTTTTTTTAAATTTTTTTAATTTGATATGATAGATAATGATATAGTAATTACCTTGATTATATCCAACCTCAACAACGTGTATAATATATTGCACTGATAACTAAGAGCCGGATTAAATCTTATATTAAGAATAGGAAAAATAATTATATTATATTATACTATTATACTAGTATACTAATCGATAATAAAGTAACACCATCAAGGGTGAAATTGACCCCTCCATTCCAAAATCGTATGAATGCTTATCAAAATATTGAATAAACTTAAACTACTTTTAAAGAGGTTGTCAATATGTAGAAATTTTCGAAAGGATTTTATCAAGTGTTGCTAAAAGCTCGTTTTGAGCCGATTTTTAAAAAGCGACTACATCGATATTTTAGCCAGAAAAATATTGCCTAAGCATCGAGGTTTTGCTAATAGAAGTCTTCCGTAATATTTTCCTGAATAAAATATTTAGTTAGTAGTTTTTAAAAATCGGCTCAAATAGAACCGTTTAACGACACTAGTCAGAGAGGCACAGGCATAGAGGGATCAATATTAAACATCAAAAAATTTGGTTCAAAAACTTTCAAAAGCTTTATAGAAAAAACACGATTATAAAGCCATTTTTAATTAAAAAAATAAAAATATTGCTAAAACATATTTGTGAAATTTTTAAAACTTTATCATTAGGTTTCCTTAAAGTTTTAAACCTTTTGAAAACAGGTTTTAGTAGTAATCTTAAGAAGAAAAGTAGGGGGGGGGGTATAATTTCAAAAAATCGAATATTAAATATGATTTAAAACTTGTGAAGAGTAGAATTATCAATAGGGTTGACTTCCATGATCTCAGAGGCTACAAAACCATTGCACAATCTCCAATTTTCTTTGGTCTTAAAACATTTTTGCATTTTGTCTTCTTTTTATATTTATACCATTTCATTATTTTTGGTTAAAAATGATGAAACTTAGAAAAATAAAAACTGATAATAATCAAACCAAATCCTTATCTTATTTGCAATAACTCACAGATATCATGAGTATCTGGTCTGATATCGCAATCGATGAATCCCTGATTACTTGCAAAGGTAATTTCCTTTAATAAATCTTATTAATATAAGGACAAATTGGAATAGTTGACTCATTCGCCTAAAAAAACAAATTTGAATAGTTTAATTCTAGCCTTTTGTTTCGGGATTTATTCCCATTTAAATTTTTTTCAAAAAATATATTATTTAATATACTAATTATAATTATATGTATCACTTTTCCATTTTTCCAACTCATTGAAATCACGAATTGTTTCGTTGGTCTTCGGAAAAGGAATGTACAATACTTCGGCAAATAGTTGCATTAACAAACGCTATTATGAAGCGCGATATTATATTTTTTTATAAGTGTATGTAATCTTATCTTCTTCTCTTCCGTTTAATGGCAGTTTTCCAGGTTTACTCGGGTACCATCTAATGAGAGATGATTGATAAAGAGATACACGTTGATGGAAGTAAGGGTATCAAATCCAAAAGGAAGATCCAAAAGGACCTGGATAAAAATGATAACGGAATATATGAGGGAAAGTGAATCTCTCAAATAGCAGTGCCCAGGACCGCAAAAAATGGATAAGGGGAATCAGAGGGGAAACTGACGCTCCCGAGTAAATCTGGAATACCGCCATTAAATGTAGAAGAAGAGAACATTTTATTACCTATATTCGACTTATTATTTTAAATCAATTCAATCAGATAGATAAATCTTCACTGTTTTATTGCTACAAATGCAGCTCTATGTTATTTAATTTACGTTTTTTTTCTCACTTCCACAATTAGTATTTATAGGACGAGACATAAGCCTAGGGTTGGCATGATTAAATCAAATTAATTAAAATCGCGATTTAATCAATTATAAGCTCATTTTTCCATATTATTTTTTTAAAAATATTATACCATATTTAAACTATATTTTGCATATAAGTTTTAATAAATAGGTAAATTTTATATTGTGTTTTGTTAATCTAAAATATTTTTTGTATTAAAAAAACTTCTAAGAAAATCATTATAATTGTTTAATTTAAGGAGGTAAAAAAATATTCCATAATTATTTCTGCACTGTAATTAATGATTAACTTCTTTGTAGATGCTAATATTGCATATAAATTAGTGTTTTTTGCGCGTATTAACTGGTACCCTGCAAATTGATAAACGTCAATATTTAAATATAATATTTTTTTCCGCGCCATTATTTCTCTATAGCAGTAAAGATATCTAATATTTTGTATTATAATAAAGGATGAACGTATATCTAGAGAACTGCACGGGTTGTCCGTAGCCCGACCCGACCCGAGGCTCGGGTCGGGTTCGGACATTAAAAAAAAATTTCTCGGGTTCGGGCGTCGGGTTGTAAAAGCTGTCCGACCCGAAAACCCGACCCGACCCGAAAATATATATCATAATATTAATATCTTAAATAGTTAGTATAATTTATAATATTAATTATAAAATCATATTATTTAATATTTATCACATTTTAGGATTAAAATGTCAATCATATTAACATGTCATGTCATTATTAATTATTATTTTATAAACCTAACAACCGGATACCAAACTATTTTATTACTAAATTGTGTTTCTCGTAAATTACAAGATAAGACATATTTTATGTAAGTTTTATTTATTATTTATCTAGCCTATACATTGTCTTTTTTAACATTTGTTTTAACCCTTCACTACAAAGGTAGAAAAAACTCCCTTAACTACAAAGGTGGGGTCTATTTTACCCCAAATTTTGATTAGATATATCTCAAAACATATTAAAAATTGAGATCTAAAATTTTGAGTATATATTTAAAAAATATTGGAGATAATAAATACAAAATCTTAGATTAATATTTACTTCCAAAAAAAAAGTTAGACAAATTTTCCTAAAATTACTGAAATAAAATTTTCTTTTTCAGTACTTCCTTTAATTATTTTATTATCACTAAATAAAATTCAAAAAATTCAAATTTTATTAAATCAATGTTGAATAATGATAATTACATAAATTTTATAAAAAAATATCATATATCAAAAAAAATATTAATCATCAAATATGTAAAATTTTGAGATAATTTCTGGTTTTAACAATTCACCAGTTGTTACTAAATTAACTTTTTATTAAAATATATCATTACATTTTAGATTAGTTAATCGCCTCGATAAAACTCTCCACATGTGTGTTGAGACTAGGTGGAATAGTAGGTTGAATATGATTGAATCGATCTTTAATCAATTTAATGACATATTGGAAATCCTCAATTCCAGAGGAGAGTCGATTAGACTTGAAAATATTGATTTTGAAATGATGAGGGATCTGATCAAGTTTCTGACGCCTTTTAAAATTGCGAGTGATGAACTTGAGAGTGATTTAAAACCTACTATTCACAAAGTTATTTTATGTTATCATAAAATATTGAGTTTTTTAGCTAATCCTAGCTTAAACTATCAGCTAAACCAGCTTTCATTAAGATGCCGGGATATATTTGTGGATAAATTTAAAATAGATTTATTCCACCAAATTTCGACGTTTTTGTGCCCAAAATTTCGGGATATGAAAATGTTATCCCGGGAACATTATAAAGATTTGTGTCAACATATCAACACGTTGATTAATGCAGAGAAAATCAACAGAGATGTGATTGAGCAAAAGTCTTTAAACAACTCACCATCTAACTCGTGCTCAACCGATAGAGTAGTAAATAAAGGTTTATTAAATTAATAATAAAATTATTTATTAAAAAATAATAATGTAAATATATATCTTAATATTATTATTGAATATTTTTTTCTTAAGAAACTACAGAGGTGGTGGTAGATACGTTTTTGGACTTCTCTCTATGGGAGGCTGACAATGCGTATTCTGATGCTAGCGCCGAAGTTGACGAGCTAAAAAAATATCTAGATCCGAAATTATGTGTTGATGACGATAATATTTTAAAATGGTGGAAAACAAACCATTATGAGTTTCCAAATTTAAGTATTTTAGCTCTTAAAAATTCCTGGCTATCCCTGCTTCGTCGGCTAGCAGTGAAGGGGCGTTTTCAGCTGCTATTAGGGCCTTTGAGGAGAGAAGGACTCGTTTAAAGCCAGATAAACTGGACGCCTCTTTATTTATATATCATAATTATTCACTTTGTGATAATTTTGATAATGATATTGATGAGGTCAATATATAATATAATATGTTCATTATATTTTTTATATATTTATTAACTTTTACATCATATCTATATTCGCATAAATGATGCTTATTATATAATCGTTATAATTTTTAAATTCGCTTGTATATTAATCGTTTTATAATATTTTTTACAAATTTAATAAAATGCAACTTAATATATATCTTGAATAGATTATGGCCGTCAAATAAACTTTTATTTAAGGTGGCTGAACTGAATAAATACGCATAAATTTTTTTTTGGTTATTATAATATTAAAACTTAAATTGCAAAATTTTATTCGGGTCGGGCTCAGGTCGGGTTGGATTAAAAAATGTGTGCTCGGGCTCGGGTCGGGCTCGGACAAAAAATTTTTTTTAATTCGGGCTCGGGTCGGGCTCGGGTTGCGAAAAAATTACTTTGCAGTTCTCTACGTATATCTCCCTTTTTTGTAAATATTGAATTAATAGAAGCGCCAAGTGTAAAACTGTGATTGAGGTGAGAGAAAAGTATAGAAGTTAGTAGAGAATCTAAGGAAGATAAGAAGACAATGTTCGATGAGGCATGCGAGATTATTCGATGGAAGATATAAAACTTTGGTAGTTAGGGCCAATAATTGCAGTAGCAAGCCTTTGTCGTAAAAAGAGATCCTTTGGAGATTTGCTACTATAGATTGAAGAGCAAGCAGTGAATACCAGACTATAAATGACCAGATCGTGTCGCTCTTACCTTGTAGAAAAGGCAATCTTTGGTATGGAGCTATACCTATATAGATGCGTTTGTAAAATTGAACTAGGCCAAGATGTAATTAAATTTTTAAAAACTTTAGTTAAAAAGTTAACAATCACTGGAGATCATAAAGAAAATTTATCAGACAAAGAATATATTTTGAGATATGTAGATCTAATTTTATTTCTATCCTCGGCCCTATGTCTGACAAAATAATTTTTTAATCCCCCTTCACCGTTTTTTTAAATATTTTAGTTTATAATAATTTTAATTATATATTTTATAAACATTTTGAATATTTGAAATTGAAAATTTAAATAAATTAAATGAAATTGAAAAAAATCGTTTTTATTTTATAAAAATAAATCCTAATATCCTAATTGTTGCCAACCCTACGCTACTATATCTATTTATAAAAAATTGAGATAAGCTTAAATTCTTATCCTATCCTTTATATTATTATTTTAAATATGATTTTTATGTGTTTAAATATAGTTCTATAATAATGGAAATCCTCTTCATATAAAAAAAAGATGGATTTATTGGAGTCCGTTTACTAAATTTAAAATTATGGATAAAATGACTAAACCTGAGTATGAGGAAAAGGCAATTCCAAAGAGCGGATCAAGGTTAGCATATTACTGGTTTCGGTGGAATCGTTAATGACATGATTACCCGTGGACAGGAGATAAATTAATCCTAATTTTTTTTTGGAAAGAAATATTAAAATTTTTGACAATTATATATTTTTTTAAATGAATCGTTTAAGCCTCGGTCTATATAAATCCAAAATTTATTAACATATTAATCAAAATAGATATTTATAATTTGTTTAGGGAAAAATTATAGTAGAGATTATAGCTTATGGAATGTTTTTCCGAAAAATTTTAAAAAAATAGATATGATTTAGGACACTTTAATACTCAGTTGACGGCAACTAAAAATATAAATATATAATTTGTAGCGAAAAGTCAAAGACCGGACCGGATAATACCGATTTGAAAACACCGTATTGAAGGCCATTTTAAAACCGGTATGGTTACGTTCACTAATTAGATGATATTAAATTACCGGACCAATGTCGAATGAGAGTGATCAGCGCTCGTTTACAATAATTAGCGAGATTATAAATCTTTGATTCCCTGTATTAAAAATATATTAATTCATTTTTCTCCTCCTTTTATTTAAATTTGTATGGACAAAAATAAAGATCAGAAAATTACAATAGCGTTCTTTCTTTCTTTTTTTTCTTTCTCATCATTCATTATTTATAAATAATGTTAACCTAATCCCCATATTAAAATATAATAAATATACTAACCCCAAATATTCGGCATAATTATGAATTTTATGTATATTAGGTTCATAGAAGGCTGAAACCTCGGCTATATCGACAACATCCTTTTTACGAACATTTTCAAATTTTTTATAGAGAGATTGTAACGAGATATCCAATTGGGATGAGGTGAAATACGCTACAATAGGCTTTTTATTTTTTATAAAGAAAACAAAAAAAAGGACATATTTTTTATGTTAAAATTAGGTAGAATGCTCTGTTGCATCTTGCAAGTGGGATCTAATTATTCAAAATTTTATAAATTTTTCATGTTGAAATACTAATAGGTGACACGAGGAGAACATTTATAGTAAACACGATTATATCTCCTAAAATTGGCATGATTAAATCGAATTTATATTGCAATTTAAATCGCGATTTTGAAGATAATTTTTTTTAAAAAATCATGATTCATATCAATTCTTCTTGTATTTTATATTAGTTTTTGTTTTCAAATAAAAAAAAACATCTTCTTGTATATATACCTTATTTAAACTATACTTTTTCATATAAGTTTTAATTATTAGCGATGCCATTACATAACACACTAATTGAACAATTATTCAAATATGACTAGTTTATTAGGAAAGCATTTCAAATGTCTTACCCCACATTTACAGTTAGCGCGAATTCGCGGCGAAGTACACAAAATATGGTATAAATATTTAATAATGTTATATTTAATTTTTGTATACTTGGTCGCAAATTCGTGGTAACTGTGAAAGCTGGGTTTATCAACTTAAAATATAATAAAACATTAATAATCATATTAAAAACGATAAAAAAATAAGTCTTTTTGATTATTTTTTTTAATATTAACTCATTCAATTTTTATGGGTTTTTTTGTGTGAAAAATTTTAAAATCAAAGATAGAAGTTGTTTCAACCTCGATATTCATGTAGAAACAGGCATGATTGTCAACATCGTATTCTTGGATGGTTCCAATCACGTCGCATTTTGAATAGCAAATTTTTTCACTCTCGTTGTTAACTTTCTCACTCGTCGTACATCTCTTAGGGTAGGAGAGAAGATTGAGAACGTAACAAAAGGTAGATATTATGGAGTCGACCAATAGGATTCCCTTATCTCCCCCATTAGTGACTTCGGGGTGCGAGCCCATAAAAGTTATCGATTGGATTAGGCGAGGCATTAAGGTAATGCAATGGGAGGGCTTCGAGCTGGAGTAGCTAGATATTACTGCGGAATTTTAGACGGAAAATAAATATATTCATTTTTCTTTCTTTTTTTAAAAAATAAAGCGCCACCCGATGAAAATGGCATTATCCTTTGTTATTATAAGTTTTTTAAATTGGTTTGGATTGAACCCTAAAACAGCTGTATAATTGGTAGACATTAATTATTGAGAAATATTTGAAGGTTGAAAAAAAAAATTAAATTTTAAAAATATTAACTATATTCGCATATCATAGCTATAACGATTGGCATCAAGTAGTAAGAATTATTCGTACCAATCGGTGGATTGATATTGAAAATTTGTTCCCTAGACGATGTTTTATCCGGTGACAATTGACGAGGGGCGTCCTCTTTTTGGGATGGGATGGAAAGGATAGCCAATAAGGGATTCATCAATGAGTTGGGCGAATCAATTTGGTGGGAAGATATTATTGTCAAGCATTTGTTGCATAGCTTTAAGGCTTGAATCTTCTCTGAGTCGGTAACTGAGCTCAAATCTATATCTCTGTCAATCATTCAAAAAGAATTTTTATTTTACTAATATCAATTATATTTATATATTAATAATTGCAAAAGTAAAAATTATAATACGCCGCGCGTCGATAATTTTTAATTCGGCGCCATAAAAGTGCCAAAGTGCTGGAGGCGCCAAAAATTTAGTTATGAATTAAATTTTTTAATATTTATTTAATTAAGATTTAAAAAAATTTATTAAATTTTATTTTCAAAAATTGAATTTTTTAAAGATTTTGTTTATTGAAGGGTTAGAATTAGTGCTGTTAAAAATCTTGATTTCTAAGCCCGAAAAAAATATTGATTTAGTCTCCAGATTTAGCTAATCCACACATTTGTGCTGCCATCTATGTGAAATATCTTCATGTTTTCGTAATATTTTTCTGGGTAAAATATTTAGTTAGCAGTTTATAAATATTGGATAAAAATAGAGCCGTGTAGCAATTCCTAAACACTCCAATTATAGATGTACTCTTTCTTACCTATTTAATAGTGCATTCATAATCTATTCTTCAATTATATATTAAAAAAAACATATTTAAAAACTATATTAAAATAAATTTAAAACCCAATTTATAAAAAAAATATCGATCCATGGATTCCGTCACTATCTTCCCGATCATCCTCTAGGACATCTATATTGCAGGTGGCCTTTCTCATTGCATCTATAACATCTACGCTGATCACCTATAAGCTTGGGCTGGGGTAGGCCTCACCATCCTATTCCTTCGTCTTGGTCATACTAAAAGCTCTATCACATTTCACATAGAAATCAAGTCACATTTTATTCCATTGAATTAGGCCTTTCCAATTTCGGGTTTATTGTATTATTCCTATCTTGACGAATTAAAATAATTGCCAGCAGACAGCATATGGGTGATCAGAGGTGCATTAAGAGACACCACCTGAAACTAGATGTTCTCAAGGATTTGGAGATAAGAAAGATAGTAGCAGAATTCGTGGAGGGGAACCGATATTTGTAGTCTCTTCACGTTTGAAGCCGATGGCTGAAGTGAATTGAACCTCGGCGCAGGAAGGAAGAAGCTCAAGGGTGTGGCCCTTGCAACGATTGGAGAAGAAAAGAGAATATGGCCGGTTATAGATTTAGCAGAAAGGGAGGCTGCAACAACAACGATCGGAAACAATTTCTGGAAAAGTCCCCCGCCCGCTGGTTTAATATCATTCCCTAGGAGAATTGTGAGATTGGTTCGATTTAATAATAAAAGCATATCGTCATTATCTTCATGTCAATCAATAAATACCAAATTCATTGTTTTTACTTTATATATAATTTAATAGAGATGAGGCAAATTACTAGTTAATTAGATAAGAAATAATTTCCATGGTTAAATAAAATAAGGAATTTAAATTAAAAAGATTATTCTCTAATATTATGATTTATTTTTAAAAAAAAATCAAATGTAAATAAACACAAACGACAAGAATCGTTATAAATTCTAAACCGAACCAAATCGATAAAAAATTCTTCAAAAAAAAAAACCAAAATCCTTTAATATTTTTTTAACTAACCAAAATGAACCAAATCATTATACTTCACAGTTCATAGCCATGACAGAAACTTTAAAAAAAAATGTATGATCAGTAACAATCATTAAAAAACAATTTTTTTTAATTATAAATAAATTTTTAATTTATGTTTCTGATATGCTCTAGTCCTTTTAGCTTCAAGTGGTTTTAATTTAAATTTTACCTACTCTTTAGGAAAGGAATATTATACTTTAAAAATATGAATTGAATATAAACAAGAATCTGATTGAATAATAAGAAATGAAAAAGGAACTGTTAATATAAAGTAGTGTAAATATAAAAATATTTAATGAATGTATAAAAAAATGTTAGATTAATAAAATAAATTAATCTTCTTTTTCTTCACTTCTTCTTATCTTATCTAGCACGTTGGTCATGGACCTGCCCAAAATGAGCGAACGTGAATTACTATAGAGGCCCTATCCTCCATAATAATTATGCCGATTTTTTCCTCAAGGATACCAACAAACCTTGTAACCCAGATATAATTATTAAGAGGAGTGGAACTCACCCAATCCAATAATAATAATAGCGTAGGGAATAAGATTATGAGCATATTTAAAAGGAAAAAATAGTAGTACTGTATCATCCAATACAAATTATTAGTCATTAGTTAATTATCTAAAATTATTTTTTTATAGTTAGTCTTAATTTTTATTATGATTATTAAATTTTATTTAGTTTATTTACGATTTATTCCCAATTATTTAGTTAGAAGATATAATTATATTATTTTTTATAATTATTTAGTTAAAAATATCTATCTATTTAATCTATTAGACCTAAATCTCATAATGTAATGTAATCTATTATAATTTATCTTACAATGTGCACTAATTTAATCTGCCTTCATTTACTATAGCCCTATTCAAATAACTTCAACTCTTAGATATATATCAAAGCAATATATGAAATTGTATTTTTAAGTAATAAAATAAAATAACTTTACTTACTCAACTTTACTTGTTATATATCAAAGTAATATACGGAATTGTATTTTTAAATAATAAACTAAACTAAATTTAATTTAATCATCTTTACTTGTTACATTCTCAGCAGTTATTCGTCAAGTGTTCGTAAATAAGTCTTAATACGATTTTGTAAGTTTTTCTATCTAACGAAGCACGTTTTATGAATTCCCAAGATAGATCTATGTCCGATAATGATCGATTTATTCTACCAAACCAACTATTTTTGTAGGATAGGAAAGGTTTGAGAGATAATTCTTCCAAAGGGGTAATAAAAAGGGCTTGATATACTAGGTTGTTTGGGGCTTGTCTGAGAATGTGCCCTAATATTTCGATTTTCCTATATTCACATAGTCTATATATAGGGAGAATGTCACATCTGGACCAAAGATTATGATTCGAAGTATTATACGGGTAGAAAGTTTTGGTAATATATCTAAGACATTTGTTAATGAACGTTTGCATCTTTTTACTTTCTTGTTTGGTATCTTTCCAAGTTTCTATACCATAGATTAAGGAGGGGAATATTAAAGTTTTAAATAATCGAATCTTTAACGGAATTGATAATTGATTCGAACTCCATATTTTCATAAAAGATCTATATTTCAGTCTGCCTTTATTTATTTTAGCTATTAGGTCTAGTTTAGTATTTCCTTTTCTATCCAGTATCACTCCTAGATATTTTAATTGTTGAACTTCTGCTATTTTTCTCCCTTGTATCGTTAGATTCATGTTTGGAGGGGAGAATATTGATGTCATCAACTTTGTTTTATCAATATTTATTTTTAAACCAAAAAAATCAGCAACTTGGGTCATCATGTCCACTAGCTATTGGAGGTGTGATATAGAATCTCCTATAATGCAAATATCATCGGCAAAAGCAAGAATATTAAATTTTACGATGGGAATCTGAGCTAAACATTGTTTAGTCACTCTTTTTATGATATAGTTTGTAATAAAATTAAAAAGAAGAGGAGAAAGGACACATCCCTGTTTCAAACCTATCTTAACTGGTATTTTTGTTGATTTATGACCCGCATGGATAATTTGTATCGAGTAATCATTATAGATATTTTTTAATATTTTTACCAAAGAAGTTGGAGTATTTATTAACTTCTTCTAATGCTATCCATAACCTATCATGAATAATCGTATCAAAAGCTTTCCTAAAATCCAGAGCTATAATTATTAATTGCCTTTTTCGTATTATAGATTTCTCTATTTGTATCTTTAAGTTGAGAATAGCCTCAAGAGCATTATGCCCCTTTCTAAATGAAACTATTGAATCCACATAATCTCGTTCTATAAAAGGTTTGAGTCGATTTAGGATTATGTTAGTGAAAATCTTATAAATTATAGAATTTAGTGAGATTCCTCTCCAATCCTCTAGAGTTTTAGGGTACTTAGTTTTTGGAAAATTAATTAGGGTAGCCGATAGCCAATCACTAGGGCAGATCCCTTCCTTCCATACTCTCGATATGATAGGGAATAGTATATCGGCGGATAATATAGGGTCCGTTTTTAAATATTCACTACGAATATTATCTTGACCAAACGCCTTGTGATTTTTTAGTTTCTTTATTATATTTATTATTTCACTCTTGATAGGATCTATGATTCTATCTGTATTTTGGAATAAGGTAGAGAGGGAAGAATGTGTAGATAAAGATGTAGTATTATGAGTATTATCTTGTGGGAGAAATAATTGTGGGGGCCAGAGGTACGAAGTGGATGGACCATGATGAATGGAAGACTCACTTTGGTTTGGTAAATGTAATAATTTAGATGGCAAGAGATTATAGGAAGAAGAGTTTTGAGGGCATAGATCAGAAGGCCATTTAGGAGGGTTCTGGAGTAATTGCACCTGAGGAGGCCAGGAGTTTGAGGAAGATGCATTTTGGTCAATGGGAGATTCTAAATTTGAGTTGTACGTAGAATTAGATAAAAAATTTGAGATATAAGAATTTTGAGCGGGAAGGAGTTGGGGAAGTCCAAGGTTTAGCAGATTTGGAAGCCAGAAACTTGAGGTAGATGGACTTTGATCAATGGGAGATATTACTATTTAGTTATTTGATGTAGAGGAGGGATCGTTGCAATTATTTGATGTAGAGGAGGGTTCGTTGCTATTAAATATTTTAGAGTAATGTGAAACCCATATTTCCATTTGTATCTCTGGATCTGTAATTTCTTTTGAGTTGTGACTAAGTTTAAAAAATTGCTCTTTTTTGAAAGAAGTGAAGGATTTCAATAATTTAAAAGCTTTATATGAATCATTTGCACTGAACGAATTACTTATCTCAGTGGCACGATCCTCAAGGAATTTCCTCTTATCTCTTCTGAGTTTATGACTTATATCGTTTAGGATATACATGGCTCTGTTTCTCCTATAATGACCACTCCCCACTAGATTTGAAATAAGATTTTTTGATTCTATTGAGATCCAGTCCGGATAATTCATCTTGGCTGGTAAGGAATTTGATGCCGCATTGTTGAAAATGTCACGGGTATTTTCCCATAGTGTGTCCGAGGATAAGTTGTTAGTATGATCGATAAATTTATGAGAATTATTTCTGATTTGTTTTATATATTCTGTTTTGATATTGTGATCATTTAAAGCCTCGATATCTAATTTGGGACGTTTCGAAAGTGACTTTCCGTTTCTTTTCTTCCTCATATGCCATATCTTCGGGTCTATTACCATAGAGCAATCTATAATTTTATGGTCAGAGTTAAATAAAACCTGATGAAGAACTTTAATATTTTTTATCCAACTCATAGTCGACCTATTACAAATAAAATAGTCTATTTGAGACCAAGTATTGTATGTTGGGCTAAAATATGTGTATATCTCTCTTTTATCCGAATGTTCGAAGAAAGTATTAGCTATTCGAAGATCTAACTTATGACAGAGTTTTAATAGTAGTTTTCCTCCAATATCGGATTTAATATTTAGTGTTCCTGAACCAAGGGAAATATGATTCTTTATATCAATTTTTCCTACTTTCGCATTAAAATCCCCAGCAATTAGTAAGTTTTCGCGTTTCGGAAATTTATTTAGATATTCGTCAAGAAAAATGAAGAATGGTTGTTTTTCAGTATAGTTCACTGGTATATAAATATTTACAATATTTAAGGTTTTACATCTCGTATTTACTTTTATGCTACATACCCTACTATTTACGCCATCGAATTTTGAGATGTAGCCCGATAGATTCTTTTTGATCAATATACAAACTCCATACCAGTTTTTTTCAGTTTCGCCCGAGTTAAAGAGTAGGTAACCTTTGCAATTAATTTTACAAGTATCAATCCAATGTGTTTCTTGTATACAAGCAATGTCAACCGCTAGGGTATCTAATATTATTCTTAGTTGGGCAAATTTATTATTATTTAGGGATCTAGCATTTAGGGATATAATTCTTAGAGAACCAGAAAAATTGTTCATTGTAATGTTAGTAAATTTATTTAGTAATTAAAAATTAGAGAAATAATTTATATTACTAGATTAAAAATTTATTTAACGATTTATAAAACAAGATATCGGACAATATATATTATCAAGATTTCACTATATAAAATAAAGTTTTTCAGACAATTTATTTAACGATTTATAAAACACGATTTCGACAATATATATTATCAAGACTTCACTATATAAAATAAAGTTTTTCAGACAACTTATATCACTATTTATCAAAGCAATTTTTTTGACAGCTTATTACTACAATTAAATAGATTTTTTATCAAGATTTCTCTATAAAAAAACGGAATTTGAATTATCATAACAATTTCCGACAGCTACAACAATATAATATTTCCAAGAATTTTTCCCTATTTCGTCTATTAATATCAGTTTTAGATATTAGTATTACAACGATATAATATCAAATTTGAGACAGGTTTCAACAGCACTAAAAGTGAGTAATAATAGAATTAATAAATCATACGAGAGAAAAAACTTGTAAATATAATATATTTTTTTTATCAAGATTTCTCTATAGAAAAAAAAAATGGAATTTAAATTATCAAACAATTTCCGACAGCTACAACAATATAATATTTTCAAGATTTTTTCCCATTTCGTCTATTAATGTCAGTTTTAGATATTAATATTTCACGATATAATGAGACAAGTTTCAACAGCACTAAAAGTGAGTAATAATAGAAGAAAATCATAAATCATACGAGAGAAAAAACTTGTAAATCTGTTGTATATATAAGAATTGATAAAAGTAATTAATCTTTTGAGAAAGTTTCGAGAATTTTAACGATATACTAGGAATAATTATAATTTAAAAGTTATAATAGTATATAAATTAACAGAAGATAAAATTAAAGAAAATAATAATATATATAAAATAAATAAAATAAAATAAAATAAAAAATAAATAAAAAATAAAAATCTAGGAATAATTGTAATTTAAAAGTTTGACGTTACATATAGTATATAAATTAATAGTATTTAAATTAACCGAAGATAAAATTAAAGAAAATAATAATATATATAAAATAAAATTATTATCCGATTTATTTTGTTAAAATATAAAATATACATAAAATAAAACAAACATTTGATTTATTTTGTTAAAAGAAAAGAAAAAACAAATGTTATTTAAAAAGTTTAAATAGAGATTATCAAATTTAATAAGTCATCGTATTATCCAAAGAGTTAACATAGTGATTACCTTATCATCGTATTATCCAAAGAGTTAACATAGTGATTACCTTAAATAGTGATTCTAAAAATTACTTAGTATGAATTTTTGTTAAAAAACAAATGTTATTTAAAAAGTTTAAATTGAGATTATCAAAGTGTTTTTTGTTAAAAAGAAAACAAATGTTATTTAAAAGGTTTAAATAGAGATTATCAAAGTGTTTAATATGATCATCGTATTATCTAAAGAGTTAACATAGTGATTACCTTAAACAGTGATTACCCAAAAAATTATTTAGTATGTATTTATTACCAGTATACATTGAAAAAACAATAAAGTTATATATTACTTCAATTATATGTTTAATTTGTTTCTCCCTTTATAATATCTAGTTTACTCTCTTATTATATGTTTAATTTGTTTCTCACTTTATAATATCTAGTTTACTCTCTTATTATGTTTATTATTATTTAATAAATCTTATTCTTATCGGTTATTTACCAGATAACAAAATAGAATGCAATTTATACTACTTTATTTATATGTAAGAAATAAATAAAATATTACTAAATTAGTATAAGTTATCTACTATTATATATCAATTTAATTAGCATAAGAGTTTAACTTATATCTTTTTTGTTAGAATTTTTATCCTTCAATATGCTAGGTTTGAATTTTAAAATCTTCAATAAGCCAAGTATCTAACACATAACATCATATAATATAATATAATGTGATAATTTCCAGTATAAATTTGTAAAATATATTATTATTTTATTTATATATAAGAAATAAATAAAAAATTGTTTGTACTAATTTATTGTTCAAACTCTAACTAGTATAATTTATCTACTATTTTAGCTAGTTATATATCTATTTAATTAACACAAGGAATTAATTTATATCTTGATTGTTATGAATTTTAATTCATCAATAAGCCAAGTTTGAATTATATCAATTCTAAGCAAAGTACCTAACACTTAATTCTCTTATAATGTAATAATTTCAAGTATAAATTTTAAAATACACTAATTATTCCACCTACATATTAGGATATAAATAGTAGCGTAATAATTTCCAGTATAAATTTTAAAATATACTAATTATTAGGTGTTTTTGAATTTAGGAAAAATATAAAATATATATATACCGTGCTATTAGGTAATCTATGTGAAATTCAATGAGAATCCATACATCATTCAAGGTTTCTATATAATTTTGTAGAGCTTTGTATCCATAAGATCTGATTAAAAACCAATTTTTTGAGAGGAATGTAATGCTATTGGAGGATAATGACCTAGTATTTAGATTTAGGCTCACTAATAATTTTGCCAAATTTGAAATTACAAATCTATTATAGTTCTTGTGATTCTCATTTAAATTGTGTAAATTATTTAAACTAGAGGTGTGAGATGTGTGTTTAAACATCGTAATTAACTTCTTAATATCAAGAATAGAATGTGAAAATAAAGTCTTTTCTTGTAATATTTCTTGATTAGGAGATATGTAGGAGCTTTTATTGTTATAATATTTGGCCTTAAATTGCACGATTTTATGCCTTGGGTCATAATTACTTTGGCTATGGGAAAAGGATGTATTATGCGTACCTTCATCAGAATTATATAAGTTTTGGTCACCTGAATTACATAAGTTTTGATCATTTTTATAAAAAACAAGGCTATCATATAATTTTTTGACATTAGATACGATTATATCTAATAATTCTTTGACATCATTTAAATCTAAAATTTTATAAAAATTAAAGTTAGTTTTAGTTAAATTTCTGTAACTTTCGAATATTGCCTAAACTATTAATTATAAAGTCCCTAAAAATTATGAAACAATTATATTTGTTGACGGGATCAAGTTAAATTTAATATATAATGAATACAAGTAAACTAAAGTTTTACGAGCTCAAACTTTCATATTATATCTTACTACTACTATTCGTATATGCTATGTACCCCCATCCATCTATTTATCAATACATCTTCATGTTCAAAGTCCGCTTCAATCACATCATATGGTGCGATGTTAAATGTATTAAGGGGGAAAATAAACTTATGATTATAAAGTTGACTGTGGTTTATTCATTATATAATATTTCTTTTATATATATTGCTCTAACTTTTACTAAAAAAAAATAAACATGCCAAATTATTAAATGAGTTTTATTCATAAATTATCAAGAGTATATTTTGTGATAGATATGAGTATGGAGAACTGAGTCAATCATTAATATTTTTAACCCTAACCCTTTATAAAGCATTCATAAATATTGCATTGTAACAGCAGCGTCACTAGGGGGACGCAGGGGCTCAAGCCCCCTAAAAAATTTGACTAGCCCCCTGAAACAAAATTTTTTTTTAATGGCTCCTTAATATCCCCTTAAACTAAAAATAAATTTTTTTGATTGCCCCCTGATTGATATCTTTTAAAATTCCATTAAGTTATATATAGATTTAATTTTATTATTTAGATATTGATAAGACTATTTAAATTTTTATTAAATGAATACTATTTTAATTATTAGATTAGATTAATACATATAAATTATATTTTCACTATGTCAGCATGCAATCAAATTCTGTATTAAAAATATATTATCAATAACTCACTAAATATTAATGAAAAGAATAAGGATGGTGACGATATGGCGCGAGGTTCGAGTCAGTAAAAATATATTTTATTAACTAATTTTTTTTTCTTTTCTAAAGGTTTATATACATTTTCTAAAATATAAATTAGAATATAAAATGAAATACAAAAAAGTAAAATAATATTAAAAAAGTAAGGTTACGCCGTTTATAAAATAAAATTAGATTATAACAAATACTAAAAATTATATAGTAATAAATAATAATATTTGAATAATGCAACATTCTCCCTCTTCTGTCATCGGAGAAGTCATAAGAGTTTGTTGTCCAAGTGGTTTATCATTTTGGCTTGTCCCAATCGTTGGTTTGATTAATTCGATTTTGCACTTTGGTTTGTTTAATCACAATCTTGATATCCATATCGTAAATTATCTCCATTAATCATAGCTTGTTTGATATTGCTCAATTGTTATTATCATTTTTTATAATTAATCCAGTCGAATATTGGAATTTAGAATAAATCGGAATATATAATTTGGAATAGTTGATCAAATCAAATGTATGAATAATATGCATGAATAAAATTTTGAATTTTGGAACAATAAAATATGTAATAAGGAATGATAATTAATGGAATAAGGAATAAAATTTTAATCCAGAATAAGGAATGATAAATTATTATATTATTTTTTAGGTGTTAAGTTAATCATAGCGTTTTATACTTTTAGCGTTTTATACTTTTAGCGTTTTATACTTTTAGCGTTTTATGCGTTTTATATTTTTTGCGTTTTACATTTTTTTATTAGTAGAGTTTTAATATTTAATTAGTAGCGTTTTAATATTTAATTTATTTTTATTTATTTTCAATCTCCGAGGTTAAAAATATGCAAATATTATGCACATTTCCCTCTCTTAAAAAAAAATTTAAATTTCACACAATATTTTTCTAAAATAATGATGTTTAATTTTTACATAACCTTTTGTCTTCAAAAGCTTTATTTCAAAAACATTTTTATCATATTAAGTATTAATTATAAGGGTTATTTAAATCAATCCCTTTTAATTCATATGTTTTAATTACATTTTAATATATTTAAAATTAAAGTTTTATCTTTTTGTTTAGGATTTTTAATGGTTTATATTTAATTATATCTAAGAATTCATCTTTAGTTGTTAATTTACAACAATTGGTCATCATTCAAGAAATCAAAAAATATCAATAAGAAATTAAGTAAATAATTTTTTAAAGGCTTTTTGTGTGGTCTATATCCATTATGATTTTACATTTTAGTATCAATATTTCACTAAGAAATTATAAATAATTTTTTAACGGCTTTTTGTGTGTTCAAATATATCCATTATGATTTTACATTTTAGTGATTTTAAAAATTTATAACATGCCTTTATCCTGGCATAAAATCTTAATATAATAACTTTTCTTATTACGTGAATTAGAATATTAAGTAATCATCATTGGTCTCACAATATAGAATTCATAACCTAACGTCCAACTTTCATTATGGTTCTTTCTAGGTTGCCACATTAGGTTAGGTGCTGGCTATTATATTCCAGTCCAACATCCAGAGCCGGGGCACCATAAAGAAAGAAGCTTTTTGCATGAAAGAACGTGCTAAGGTTTGATTCTTGGTCATCTCCATAGATTAGACATTGGTCATATCAATAGATTAGGCAGTCACAATAAATAAGGTAATAATAGGTAGTCATTTCCATAGGTTAAGCAGTCTTCATAGGTTAGATAGTCATCTCAGTAGATTAGGTAGTCACAATAGATAAGGTAGTCATAATAGGTAGTCATCTCCATAGGTTAAGCACAAGGTAGAGTCATAATAGGTAGTCATATCCATAGGTTAGGCACAAGGTAGAGTCATAATAGGTAGTCATCTTTTTCTAGTCCACCACCCAGAGGGCACCATGAAAAGGATATGGATGGTGACGATATGGCGCGAGGTTCGAGTGAGTAAAAATATATTTTATTAACTAATTTCTTTTTCATTTCTAAAGGTATATATACATTTTCTAAAATATAAATTAGAATATAAAACGAAATACAAAAAAGTAAAATAATATTAAAAAAGTAAGGTTACGCCGTTTATAAAATAAAATTAGATTATAACAAATACTAAAAATTATATAGTAATAAATAATAATATTTGAATAATGCAACAATTAATTTAGCTTTGACAATTGAAGTTTAATTGACTTTTATTACTTAAATTATTATATAACCCTAATTAAATAAATATAATCATATAATATTTAAAAATTCAAATTTATTATTGTAATTAGGCTAGTTCAAAATGACTAATCAACTGTATATTTATTTTTAAATTTTATTATCATACATATTCCTAAAAATGTTTTCAGGGTCCAAAAAAGTATAAGAGATTTCTTTATAAAAAGTAAGTAGACATATAGTTTATTGTCCTCTACTATATACAGTTATTTATAAAATATTAGATAAAATGCCACTTTTGTAGATGTATTTGATAGTTATATATTATATTACAGCTAAAATTATAATAAATTTTACTAATAAATGTTTTTGATAATAAATATAGTAACAATTTGAATATAAGTATTTAACATAAATAACTTTAAATATTAAACATTTTATTATTATTTATCCTGCAATAGATGTAATAATTTGATACCTTTTCTTCTCTTCTTTTGCGTGTTTTTATGAAAGCTATTTTTTTCTTTTTTGAAAAATAGTTTTGAGTTAAGTGTTTAATATAAGTTATTTTTGATATTTACAAACTACTATTATTTTTAGATATAATATATCAAGGTGGTGCAACAATATATAAAATCTTAATTGTTTCATCATATCATTTTGGTCCTTATTTTATTTAGAAAATGTTTCATTTCTAATATAGCATTGCCATGTAAATAACTTCAGCTTCAATATGCATAATTATTTCTTCCAAAGATTTTTAGTGTTTTTATTTTATCAATTTATCCAACATAATAAATTCTGATATTGGTTTACATCATGAGTGTCATGGCTATTACTGCAAATTTACCAGCATCTATTATTTGTGTTGCTATGTAATTTAAGATTATTACTACAACGGCTGAGAACATATGATTGCATATTTTTGATAAACAATAATGATCAACGTGAAGTCGTTTATATATCATTTAAAATGGAAGTTAATCTTTTAGAAATTTAATATCTCACAATAATTTTCTCGATTACATCTAGCTTTCATCATGTCATCTAAAAGTTGGTCTTTATACTCTCTTCTTCAAGAATTGTTGATTTTAGGCTTCTAAAATTATCCTTATTAGTCCATTCTAACATTGTCTAAAATGGTAACAGAGAGTTTTATTAGTTTGATAACCTTTTGTCATAATAATTATATTATTGCATTATGTGTTTTTAAAAACTATTATTAATTTAGGAGGCATATATATGAATTAATCTTTTTTATCACTTATAATTCTTTAGACTCAAATTTTTTTTATATCAGCAATCAAAAATATTTTATACTGTAATAAATAGATTTTGTATTAAAAAAATATTGTTTTTAGAAATGTCTTGTATTGTTTTAATTATTTATATGCCAGTTTATATATATAATATAATAAATGACAAAATATGAAATTCAGAATAACTGTTTAGAGTTAACAATTTTCAAAAAGTATAATATATAAATATAAAACCCGGCCGAAGGCCGGGAAAATGCGGGCAGAAGGCCCGTAAATTGGGGGATATGGGGGGGGGGACGCCCCCCCCCCATATAATTTTTTTTTAAGTTGAGCCCCCTGAGATTGTAAAGGCTAGCGACGCCCCTGCATTGTAACATTATTGTCATATACTCGCATATATTTTGATTATTGTCATTGGTAATAAATCTATAGCAGTATATAAGACATATCTCATAAGAGTAAATATTAAGGATATAATTGTAAAACTATTGGAGACAAATGTTCTGATTTTCATTTTACTCAAATATATAAAAATTTAATATTGCGCATACATTAATTATTAATTTTCTACTATTTTTTCTTAATTAATATTTAATGATAAGATCTGATTTTCCCTATAATTTTCATTTGGAATCATTTTTTTTAGATATTTGCTACATTGTTTTCAAATTTTTCTGCCTTGTGTTTTAATCTGGATGTGTACCTTGCATTGTTAAAATTTAAAATTAAATAATCCTTTTTTATGGATCATTCTATATCTTAAATCAAATATACTTGATTTCTAAATATATCAAGATAAGTTGATTCATAAAAACTGCTCTGCTCAGATCTGAAAAATCGCTAAGTCGACTTGATCGAATTTTTTTTAAAGTCAGCTTAAGCTATTTTTTGAGCCAACTCGATATCATTATTCAACAAGCCAAATTTTAATTTGATTCACAAAAATATATACTCCAAAAGGATGATTACAACCAAATTAACTATTCCTCTT